TTGAGCTCTCCTACTTGGGCTCCTACTCCCGGGGTGGTGGAGACAGGTCTGTTCCTGTGGGGCACCTGGAACTCCTGCCTCTTACCCAGACCTGGAGCACTGGCTCTGTTCCAGGGCCCCTCCTCTGTGGGTCAGTACTGGTGACCCCCTTTTCTTTCCTTCCACAGCCCTTGAAGAATGCCACCAAGTATGGCAACATGACACAGGACCACGTGATGCATGTGCTTCTGGTGAGTGGGACCCCACCATGGCCCTGCCTGCCCACCCAGGTTCCCCTGACACTGTCCTCCAGGGCCTGCACCATTCCGGACTCACTGGATTAGTGAAAGAATGCCAGTGTGGCCCTTCAGCATCATCTGTAGTCTAGCCGTCCACTTTTTTGAGTGTTTGAGACGGAGGATCTGAGGCCCAAAGTCTGGAAGTGACTTGCTCAAGATGCCCATTTTTCCTTCCCAAGTTTCTGCTGCATGTCTACTCTGTACCAGGCACTGTGCAAGGCTCTGGGCTCACACTGGGAAGAAATCAGACTCTGCTTTCGACCCCACGGGGGTCCCAGGCTAACATGGGAGATAGACAAGTGACTAGGTGATAAGGGACTGGCAGGAGAAAGCAGCAGAGGACCCAAATGAGTGGGGGGAGTGGAGGGGGTGTTGAGGAAGGGAGACCTAGAGGATGGGTAGGGGTCTGCAAGGAGTAGAAGACTGGGGGTTATGGGTAGGACCAGGCCTGGACTCTGAACTCCCGGCCCTGGGATCGTACAGCTGTGCAGCTGGAAGGCCCTTGCTGCCTCCCCTGTCCTTGGCTCCATTATGGCAGAGGTCCAAGGGAAGGTGGGTGGCACGTTTCACCTTGTCTGCCAGAGAGCTTTTTAGACCTTCCTTCCTGTCTTGCTACCCCACAGGAGGCCGACCCCCTGAAGGTGTACCCGAAGCTGAAGGGGAGCTTCCCAGAGAACCTGAAACACCTTAAGAACACCATGGGGCCCCTGGACTGGAAGGTCAGCAGCTCCCCCTGCGCTGGTTCCCTCTCATCCCTGACATCTAGGACAGGGCTGGGAGAGGCTCCACGAGGGCTGGGCCAGGGAGGCCAACCTCAGGAAGCTAGAGGCGGGGCGCCAGCCCCAACAAAGCCATAGCCATGAAGAGGGCTCGGAGTGAGGAACCACCTCGACCAAACTCCATGGGTCTCTAAGCAGGAACCCAGCTACAGCTGGACTCAGCTGCTGGGTCCCTCTTGGACCCTCCACGTCTGTCCCCAGGGGCAAAGTCGGGCAGGGTTGGAGGGAGCTATGGAGCCTGACCCCTTGCTTCGATCCCGTCAGGTCTTCGAGAGCTGGATGTATCAGTGGCTCCTGTTCGAAATGAGCAAGAACTCCCTGGAGAATAAGCCTGAGGTTCCACTAAAAGGTATGGGGAGCGGGAGCCTTGGGATGCCAGGGCTTCTGGAAGCTCCCTCAGTGCTCTCTGGGAGCTGCAGAGGTTAGGACCTAGAGCACTCCCAGATCCAAGCCCTGGCACTCTCCCAGTCTCTAACTCTCCCTCCTGTCTCTCCTGCCTGTTCCTTCTGGGCTTGGCTGCTCCTCCGCACTCCCCTTAGAGGATGACCTCCGTCGTGGGGGACGGCACTGCACACGTGGGCCTGGAGCAAAATGACCCGACACATCCCATCACATATCATCACAGTGACCTTCTCCACTCAACCCTGCACAGGCTCTCGTGAGGGGGCTGGGGCAGGGCTCATGAGCCCAGCTGCAGAGGGACCTCCCCGAGCTCACACAGCCAGTATGGGCCGGACGATTTTCTAAACCTAGATTTGTAGAAGGCACCTTTGATGCCATTGTGACTAAGTCCCAGCTGATGTCCGAAGCCCTCTACAATGTGCTCAAAGAAAGCCCCATTTGCAGTCGGATAACTCAGTAACAGAGGCTCAGACTTCCCTAGATGCCCATTGCTTTTCTCAGAAATAAGAATCACTGGAGCAATTCCAAACTTTAATAGGCATTGAGTGTCCGAAGAAATCACCAAGTTCTAGGATAAGTGCGCCATGTGGCCATTCACATCCTCTTCGATCTCACACCTTGTTGGCTCAGGCCTCAGTTTCCCCCATCGGTGCCAGGGGTAGAGTGAGCATCGCCACCTGGGCAGAAGGCATTAGGCCCACAGCAGCGGTATGTGGATTCTGCTGAGACTCTGGCCCAGGGTCTGCTCACTCACCGTGTCTTCACCATGCCTGTCGCTTCAGCACTGACCCAGTGCCAGGAGGAGGTCAGCCGCGTCCCCGCCGTCCACCCTGGCACATTCAGGCCCCAGTGCGACGAGAACGGCAACTATAAGCCGCTCCAGTGCTATGGGAGCACCGGCTACTGCTGGTGCGTCTTCCCCAACGGCACCGAGGTCCCCCACACCAGGAGCCGTGGGCGCCGTAACTGCAGGGGTAAGCAGTGCCCACTCAGCCGGGGAGTGCCCAAGGAGCAGAAGTGCCGAGAAGGCGGAGCGTGAGAAGGGCCTCCTGGCACACCTGGTACAGCTACCCAGCTGCCCCTTTATCCACCTACCCATGCACTCCTCATCGGTCCATCGGTCCTTCCTTTCCTTACATCCACTCATCTACTCACTCACCTGTCCTTTCGTCCTTCTTCTGTGAACGTCACGCAGCTGGCCACCGCCCGTGGTGCACCCAGGGGTCTACAGGTCTGCCCATCTCATGTCCTCACTCCCTCCCTGGGCCTGCCCTGGGCACACCCAGCAACAGTCCTGCCTCCACCAGGCACGAGGCCGGTGGCCAGGCTGGGAAGGAGGACCCTGGCCCCTTGCCAATGGGTGTGGGAGGCTGGACTGTCAAGTGACACACGGCCTTGCTGCTCCCTTGCAGAGCCACTGGACATGGAAGACCTGTCATCCGGGCTGGGTATGACCAAGCAGGACCTGGGCCAAGGTAAGGGCCCCTGCAGGAGTCACCCAGGCTCCAGCAGCTTAGCCCCCGGGAGGCCGAATCCCTCAGGGCCAGAGGGCCGGCACAGCACGACCGTGGGCTGTCCTCCAACCTCCCCGGGACATCCATTTCACACCGGACGACCACCATTAGGGGCTGCAGGGGTGGAGACTCCTCACCTCTGAGATCCCAGGATGCTGGGAAGGGGCAGGGACGACAGGAGACCCCAAACCTAACCTGCTTCTCGTCTCTGTAGTGGCCGTATGAGAAGAGCAGACGCTGACGCCGGCACACAGCCCGCCCTGCATGGCCACCGCCTCCTTGCTCCCCTCCATCCCCCAACCCTAGCCCCTCTTCTCCTTCTCTCACACACTGCTCCCCCACTCCCTGTCTCCCACTGTGCACCGCCTTCCGGGACACCCTGGCTCCTGGCTCTCCATCATCCTTAGACACCAGTCACGTCAGCGAACACAGATTTAATGATGCAGGAGGGCCCTGTGGCCTGACCCCCCATCGATCAGCAGGAACGCGTGGCCCGAGGCGGTAGACTAGGAGCTCCGTGCTATGGGAGCTTCAGCCTCCAACATGGAGCCCCAAGATCCAGGCCCACGGATGACATGGAAGGTACATGGAGAGGAGACAGTGCTCCCCCACACCCAACAAGTCTGCCCTTTTGACCTTGCCTTTCTAGCCTGTTTAGCTGGGGGAAGAGCCACCCTTCCCCTCTCCAGCAGCACACCCAGAAGAACCAGCCTCTTTACAACGCCCCCACCCTGCCCACCCCTTCCCTCTGTGCAGCCAAGCTTATCACCCGCCCTCAGGGCCACAGCTCTGAGAATAAAAGGTAGTAAGTAGGACACTTCTGGCTCCTGATTGTTGTTGGGATCTGGCTCATGGACCCCAAGGAGGTAACCGAGACCTAGAATCCAGTGGTCTGGATGGGAGGGCACAGCCCAGGGAGCCCAACCCCAGATGCCCGTGGGGCCTGGCCAGGCTGTGGGCATGCACTTTGGACAAAGATGCTCTTGGTTTCCATGGTAACACACAGGCACACTCTACTTCCAAAAAAAAAAAATAGGCTCTTGCCCAGAGTTGTTTAAGTTCAAGTTCCTCTTGGTCCAGCTTCCATTTTTCCCCAGCTCCCGGTTTTCACTTCCCTACTAAGGACCGCGTGAGTGAGGACGGACAGCAGTGACACAGGCCCCAGTGTCGGGACCGCCAGGAAGCAGGGGCTGTGGGGAACCAGGAGCTCATGCCCTACGTAGACCAGACCCCTGTTCTAGACCAACACACTTGGCGGGGGAGAGAAGCTAATACGGGGCAGGGCCCTGAGAGAAGGGTGCAGATGGATGCCAACCCAGGTCTCTAAGATCTCTGCCCAGCTCTCTCCTCTCCCGCATACCTTCTTACTCTCGCTGGCAGAAGGCTCAAAGCCCTGGAGAGAAAGCTCCCTGTCCTCTGGGGCTCCACACTGCTCTGTGCAACGGCACTGCTGCCCTCACCACATCCTGGAGATGTGTCACCCTGACGTAGCTATGGAGTTCATACATTTCTTGCCTTCATCATTCTAGAACCTTCATTATTTGGACACGAGGGCGACTCAATCCTAACTGGTTTACCTGCTCCTACTCTGCCCACGGTCCCTATTCCTCACCAGGTACCTCTGGGGACCTGCCTCCAACTCACACCCAAACTTCCAAAGGTGGTCATCCCCCACTGCCCCTCTTCTACTTCCTGCCTCTGGATCTTGGCCTGCCCCTAACCCAACAACCATGACGATGTGCGAGGTCCCCCTTAGCGGAGAGGCCACTTTGGAGAATCTCGTTCTCTGGCGACCTGTCCGTTCCACTTACCACAGGGTCCCAGAGCCCTGGTGTGTAGTCAAGAGCCAACCCTGTGCTGTGGTTTGTTCACCTCCAAGTGTCAGCCAGACTCTCCCTTCTAGGAGTAAGTCAACTGCAAAACAGTCGTCGCGGATGCACTGGGCACTCGCACCTTTCCTTCAAGCCTTTTATTTTCTGAGTTGTTACAAAAAACCACAAACAGGGAAAACTGACAGAATTACAAAGCCTCTGCATCAGCCAGAGACCAGAGATGTGGAAGGAGCTGCAGGCTGGGCCTTGCTAGGTCTGCAGGGCCCAGAGGTGGAAAGTCCAAGGCCTCTGGGCCTGTTGGGTTTGAAGGGAGAGGGGCGGGTCACTTAAAAAAATATATATATACTGTACACATCTCTAGGAAGCAATCTGTGTCAGGACAGAAGTCAGACGCGGAGTCAGCGAGTGCAAGTCCCCGGAGCTGGACGCTTGGCCGCCGCCCCCTCGGACCAGCCTCCCTGCAGGGCTCACTGCTCGGCCAGCGCGGACACAGCTCGGCTGGCGGGCTTCTTCTGGGGAGGGAGGGGAGTTAAAGATTCAGTTCCAGCCCGTGGTGGGCGGAGGGCTGAGGCACGGGGCTGGTCGCCACTTGGCTAGGAAATCCCTGGGTGAAGGAAACACATCCAGCCGTGAGATTTCCCGACCATTTTCTCCAAAGAGAAAAAAATAAAATCAAAATCTGGGGTCTCTGATGCAGGGGAGAAGCCTGAGCCACAGCGGGCACTTCAGCACGGACTGGGTCCCAGGAACGCAGCCAAGCGCTCTGGTGCCCCGCCTCACTCAATCCTCACTGCCAGCCAGGCAGGCTCTGGGTCCCCGCCCTTTCCGGGAGGCTGGTGGCTGCTGGGGTCCCATCAGCCCCTTCCCCACCACCTGGGAAGCACAGCTCCATCGGAATGGCTTATCCTGAGGAAACCGTCTTCCTCCCAATGAGGAATGCCCTCAAATGACAAGAACACAAGGAAGTGGACAGTGGTGGGGAGGGACCGAGCTGTACTTGACCTCAAGCCTCACCCTCCTCTGCAAAGCAGCACTACCCCAGTGCCCATACCCAGGGAGGGTTGTGTTGGTTGCTGCCATCACTATTCTGGATCCTTCTGATTCTGCAGCTCTGATTCCCGGCACTGCCTCACTGGCCCCACTGACCTTGAGGGACGGAACCACTCTCTCCAGCCCCCGGTCCTTCCCCCGCTCCTTCCCCCTGCCTGGGCCCTGCGACCAGGCCAGATGCTAGAGCTACGCTCCCACCCACACCAGGAGGGGAGGTCGGCAGGGATCCCTGGGCCCGGAAGCATACCTGTCGCCGCGGGCCCCTCAGACTGTCTGCTCTGCCGTCTTCTTCTGTGAGGAGACAAGCATGAGAGGCTCCTGGGCCTGAAGCAGCTCCCCCTCCAACCCCGTACGCTGTCCACCCCCGCCCGCCCCAGAAGCGGATGTGATGGTTCTTTCCTGAGGACTCGCAGCTCTCCCCAGAACAGATACTGGGTATACAGGGGTCCCCAAGGGCAGGGGTGGGGCCCCATTTACCCAGGAGGCTGAAGCCAACAAATGCTCAGCTTTTCTGAACACAGCTGAGGCTCCACTGGCCACAGCGAAAACGGCCCCGTGTGAGGTGTGGAGGGCCCTCTATTCCAGTGATCAGTCTTTGGAACCCATAAAGCAGAGGGGTGTATTTCTGCAGTGGGGACACGCCCCTGGCTGGGGTACACAAATCCCAGGGTATGTCTCTTCTCCCCTCAGCCTACCTGGCTGGCCTCCCTGCCCCCCACCTCGAGGCTCTCCTTTCTTTATCTGTCCCAAGAACATCCTTCTACCTCACAGATAAAGACGGGGGTCACTCCCATGGCTTCTACACACACACACACACACACACACACACACACACACACCCCAAGTCCCTTCCCCTCAGGGTGGCACCTGCCTTCCACCCATCTTCAGTGTGTCACAATTCACAAGCCCTCAGCCCCTGGACCCTGAGAACGGACGTGAAGCAGGGACCAGGTCTGGCACACACGGGTTGGGGCTGATCACATTCACCCTGGGGACCAGGTCTTGGTCCTTCTCCCGGCTGGAGACCGCTCAAGAACTCACGCTACCTTTTTCTTCTTTTTCTTCTGGAATGGCGAGTCAGGGTCTTTGGCTGAGGCCTTTTTTACTTTCTTCTTCTTTTCCTTTTTTTCCTTGTCTTTCTTTTCTAAGGAAACAAAGTAAACCCCCCTAAGTAACAGAAGCATTGGTGGTGGGGGGAGGTCAATGTCAAGAGATAGGGCTGGTCTCAAGGGATCCTAGAACCAACCACTCCTTCCAATGCCAGGTCCCCAGTGCTGCCCACACTTTGGGGACCCATCAAAACACAGGCCCCAGGCCTGCAACCACCTGCACTGGTCCGAGTGGCCATGGGCCTGCCTCGTGGTTTCGGCCCCATTCACGGACCACCTGGACTATTACTATTTTTCTTTTACTCACGTTTTAAAACTTGTACACATTTACTTTAAGAAGTGACATTCTACCGTAACGAGAATATCACCTAAGGAAGAGACAAGGCTGGATGAAAGGAGTTTCCACAGCACACAGGGTCTAGCGCGGAGCTCAGGAAGGGCCGGTGACCGTGACCTCCGAGGGGAACCTGCTATCCAGGCGCCTGGGCCGCGGAAGCAGGAAGCAGAAGCACACGGCAAGCGAGCATTGGGGGTCTGCAAGTAGGCCGTGCCCTGTGGCTGCCGCTCCGCGTCTCCGGGCAGGTCAGCCCAGGAGGTCCGGGATCCAGCTCTGGGATCCACTACCAACCCCTGGCCCCACACAAGCTAGTCGGCAGCCTTCCCCTTGGTGCCCGCCGCGCGCCTGCCCCCCGCCCCATGGCCTGCTGACCGGAGACTCTTAGCCTGGGCCCAGGAGTCTGCTCTGGGCTACGGCTGGCCGGCCACTTACTCTTGTCAGATTTCTTCTTCTCCTTCTTGCTCTTTGGGTTGCCTTGGTCTCCAACCTCAACTTTCAGTGTCCCTGGCTCCCCTTCTGGCTTCTCCTTGGCTCCTTGGGAGCCAGGAGCCTCTTTCTCCTTCTCCTTGATGTTACCACTTGCTCCATCTTTCTTGGCTTTCCCCTTGGGAGTCCTGAGGACCTTTTCTGGCAAGCCAGCACCCTCCCCACCTCCCCCGGCCACCAGCTGCTTCTTCTTCTTGCTCTTGGGGGCTCTGGCGGCCGTCTGGTCCCCCGACAGCTTCCTCTTGCGGCCCACCCGGCCCTTCCTGCCAGTGTCCTTGGCAGCGTCCGCGGCCTTCTTCCTCTCCTGCTCCAGCAGCTCTGTCAGGACCTTCACCACCGAGGCCTGCACCTGGGCCTCATTCAGGGGCCAGGGCTCGCTCAGGAGGCGCCGGCTGATGTCACTCTGCAGTGCCAGCACTGAGGCCTGGGGGTTCCCGGCCTCCTTCTTGGGCTTCCGGGGCTTCTGAGGCGTGGGATTAGCCTCTCTTCTGCCTGTGGAGAAAGGACATGGGGTCACGATCGGGGAGAGCCAGGAAACAGGCTACCGTACAAGGGCCAAGGAGGGGATCTAGGGACATAGTCCACCTCCTCTGACGATGGTAAACAGGGAAAGGGCGGCCCAGCAGTCACTCTGCCCAACCTCCTGCCTCACACCTTTCCAGCAGCTTCTAACTTAGCTTTTTTAACTTAGCTCTTTCGTCTCCTTGCATTCAAGTCAGGCTCGAGATGGAAAAGGACTCCAAAATCTTAAGGAGGGGGCGTGAACTCTATCAACAAAATGAAAGGTCAGATAGGAGGGAGACGGTATTGTCCAGTCGCAAGTCCAGAGATGGGAGGCAAGGGACTTGGATTCCAGGTTTGCCTATCACCAGCGCGCTGGGAAACCATGCTCCTCCCACAGCCTCGGTGTCCCCATTTGTAAGATAAGGGCTTAGATAAACAGTGAGGCCTCTGTTCTAAGTCACAGATTCATGGTAAAAGCTGGTCAGGGGACAAGGCAGCTTAGGGGGTGACCGGCATGGTGTATACACACGTGGCGGCTGACTAAGCAGGTTTGCTGCCTGCCAGAGTGACTTCTGGTGCAGCCTTTGTTTAGAATTTTCCACGCCTCTGCTCTCCTTTGATAATTGTGTGCTGACTACACGTGTGAAAAAAACCGACCACAGCCCCCTCTAAAATGTCTCCCTGTTGCACCCACCTCTCACCAAGAAGGCTGGGGAAGAAAGTGAGCAATGACTCTTCTCCTGACCCAGCAGCGGCGAGCTGCGGCTAAAGCCAAGGCTGGGGCAGCGCGTGCGGGGTGACATGAGCGGTGTCCCACTGCTGCCCCTACCTCCCCAGGTGCCTCAGCAGGTCTCTGCTCCCTCTGGGCCTCACAGACACAAGAGTGCCTACACGCAGGCTCTGAAAGGCGCCCGGGGGCTGTGCCCAGGGGCTTGGCCAGGCTCCCCGTCACGGGGCTGGGGGCTGTTCCCAGCAGCAGGCAGTGGGCCCCCATTGGGAGCTCATGCAGCTCTGGCCCCAGGGCTGTGGTGGGCTAGGGGAGGCAAAGACGCAGGAGGCGGAAGGGTCCCCAAGGCAGACGGAGGCCCGATTCAGTTGTTCAGTGCTTCTTGGCAAGGACAGGGGGTGGGGGGAGAGGGAAGCTGAGGAGGGCACGGTTCGCGCTGGCAACCTCCTTCACTGCAGCCCACTTCTCAGCTGCCTGTCTGAAAACACCGCAGAACACCCAAGCTGGGGATTGCCCAGGGCTGTCGCAGGCATGCCCATCACAGCTACCTGTTCCTCAGCGCTGGCGAAGTCAGGGCTGGCTGATGTCCCTGGCTGGGGGACCTCAGCAACTCCGGTCTGCCCTCTCAACACTACGTGATGATTCTGTCTGTGTGCCATGCTATGACACTCCCTGGATGGCTCTACAGTGCCCTGTATGACTAAGACACAGAGGCCCAGTGTGGCCAGGGTCCTGTCCAAGGCTTCACAAGAAGTCAGCCCATCACCTGAGGTCTCTGCCATGTGCTAGAGACTTCTCCAAAAGTGGCTCCTGCCTTCTGTCTGAGCTGCCCTGAGTTCCTAGCCCCCATACCACAAGCCCCTTTGTTAGAAAGCAAAGTTAACAGAGACAGAGAGCCAAGACCACTTAGGGCAAGGGTCACCCTATGGCTACACCAGAATCCCACAGAGATGGAAAACCTGACTTCCAGGCCAACCCATATCATGAAAGCCAGACATTTGGGTGTGGGGCACCAGGCCTTGGTTGGAGATGCCCCTGCGACAGACAGGACCTTATCGGTAGGCCTATTCCTAAGGCAGGGAAAAAAGGGGCCCACTGTCTTGTCCCTCCGGGTCCCACTGTGTCTCTCCTGTGGCCCTTGACTCACTTGTTTTAGGGGATACGGCACCTGCTACATGTTGGGGTTCCACTTCCTGCTTGCCGTCTGGGGCATCTTTGGTGGCAGAAGTAGAGTAAGCCGAGGGGTTGAGGTCTGGCCTAGGAGTGGCCTTTGAAGCTTGGGAATTGGCCAGAGTCGGCCCAGGGGTCACATAACCTGAGAGGAGAGACTGAAGAAACCCAGTCTGAACAAGTGAACGGGGCAGAGCCCTGCTCCACCCTTGAGGGCAGAGCCATCCCAGGAGCCCTGAAGATCAGGCTGGCTCACAGGCCCAGCGTGGGGGGCGTGTTAGCCCTTTGAATGTACCTCCTGCACTATTTTAATTAATACAGACTTTCATCGGGTACATTTAAGAAGACAATCTCTTACTACTAACGAGAATGGAAAATCACTAGTGCTTGCCGTGTACAGAAGATAACCTTAAAGAAATCCCATCTGTTCTGAAATGTCTTTTTTTCTGGGACTCAGCTAAAATCAAGGCAAGCCTTTTCCACAGGTTCTCGGAGTCCACCCCTCATGGCATGCTAAAACAGAGCCTTGGGGGAGAGAGAGGGCCCCGCTGTGGGGGATGGCCTCGGCCTCACACTGTAGCAGGTGGCCTTGAGCGCCCGCCCCCAGGCCCCCAAGGGGCCAGTCCCCTCCCTCACCATTACCTGAGAGGGTGCCACCACCTCGTCCTCGCTGGACTCTGCTGTGGTCTCCTCCACCAAGGTCTCTGTCGTGGAGGGGGCTGGACCTACTGGGGGAGCACAGGCCACCTGTTGGGAGGCCCTGGGATGGCCTGAGCCTTCCACTGGTCCCTCGCCCTCATGCCCAGGCTTTACCTGCTCCTATGACTCCCTCCAAGGTCAACGGCTATTTGCAGCCTTCTAAGCAAGACATCTGAACGCCAAAACCTTCTGTTCTAATTCCCAACGCCCAACTTATGCTTCCCTGCTTTTCCGTGGGGGAAGCACAATCCTGGGATTTTGGGGGGCCAGCTATGGGAGCCTGATGGTAAAAAGCTGGCAGCAGTCCAACAGTAGGGCTGGAAAGTCTCTGGTATCATCTGGACCAACCACCTTGTGGGGCTGTACAGGTGGGGAAACTGAGGCCCAGCATGGGGGTGACTGGGCCCAGGCCACAGAACAGCTGGAGATACATACAGAGCTGAGACCTGAGCCTTGTACTCCACCAGGCCGCCACTCCCCTGCTCTGGGCCCACCTAGCCTTCTCCTCCTGGGTCCCTCACCTAGCCTGGGGGCCGAGGGAGCCATCTGGGGCCCGTCAGCATCCTCCTCGCTCCCTGAGGAGCTGCCGCTGCTGTCATCACTGTCACTGGAGGTGTCAGAGGCCTTGGCTTTGGTGCGTCCAGTGGGAGTGGCTGTGGCGCGCTGGAGCGCAGGGACCTCAGGCTTTCTGACCTTGTTGGTCCCCTTGGCTGGAACAGGGAGTGTTCCCAGAGCACTATCAACCTGATTTGGTTAAAAAAAAAAAAAAAAAAAAAGGAAATAGAAGATAAACTGAAGGGAAATAAACTCGGTGCCTACCGAATACCCCAGTTACCTCCGAGATAGGCGCCTGTTAGCTGCTTGCACGAAGGCCTCACTTAGCACCCCTCCCACAAACGCTCAGCTTGGCAGCCGAGGTCGGGGGGTGTGTGCTCGTCACAGGGCGGGTAAGTGCTGCTGCTGGGATTCGGGCCCCTGTCTGTGCCCTCCCTTCTGTGCTCTGTCATCCAGGGTGATGCCTGGTCCCACCACCACCACCAGGCTCCCAGCTCACCCCACTGGAAGACGAGGTCCTGGCAGCAGGAGGCTGGGCCTCACTGGCTTTCTGGGCAAGGACCTTCAGGGTGGCCTGGGTCAGCGGGAGGTGAGCAGGGCTCCTCTTTGTCACCTGTGGACAGCCACAGGCAGCCCTGAGACTTGCTGGTCCTCAGGATGCCATCTGTGCTAGGCCCCGGTCAGATCCTGGCTGGGGGAGGAGGGGACCTGTACCTGAACAAGGAGCTGTGGGGCTGGAGGAAGGGACCGAGGGAGTCAAGACCGATGCCACCATCGGGGTAGGAAACGGGTCCAGGCTTCAGGTTATCAGCTAATCATATCGTTCTCAGGGGATCCCCCCAGGGGAGGGAAGCAGCCCGGGTCCTACCCGAGGCCCCCAACTCAATCTGCGCTCGCACTGGCGAACAGTCCCCAGCCTGGTGGCTGCAGCCTCCCCACAGGCCTCCCTGGGGCCCTCCTGCCCCCACACAGACCCCTGGTCAGGGAGATGGACTGGAAAAGAGAAGGGTGGGCTCTCCCCACTCTGGAAACTTCCAGCCCCACCCCCGCATCTCTGCTGCTGCATGGCCCACGGGGCCTGCACCATGGCCTGTCTGGCCTGGCCCCGCTCGCCTTACTGCTTCCTCCAGCTTTCCCTGCCCACGCGCTTCCCCAGGGGGCCGCAGCCCAGGTTCCCCACCTGGAGTACTGGCTTGCCTGGCCTGGCTGCTTCTCTAGCATCGATGTTGCTGCCTCAGGGAGGCCGCTCCCCTGTCCTTCCTAAAGCCACTCACTGCCTTATTCTCTCGTTTATACCCAGTTTCTCTTAAAGTACCCACCAGTTGGCGAGTGCTTTACTTTCTGGCTTCCTTGTTTCCTGGCCTGGCCCATGAAGGAAGGGGCTCTCCCCCACTGCTGTCCCCGCCACGGTGTCCCCAGTGCCCGGCGTGCAGACGCACTCGGCAACCCAGCTGGCTGAACGGCGGTGGGCTGCTGGCTGCAGTGACCAGTGACCAGTGTGCAGCTACCCAGCTCCCACACTCCCAGGAAGCCTTTCTCGGGCCGGAGCTCGTGATGAGCCCCTCTGGGCTAGGGGTGCCCAGCTCCCTCCTGTCCTCTTTGGGGGGTGACATCATGCAATGGGCTGGGAAAGCTGACCCGCAAGGCCCAGGAGTGCGGTGAGGAGTGAAGAGACCTGGGCCCGGACCCTGCCTCATCCTGGACGGGCCTCCGCGGTCCTGTCGAGGGGCAGCCCTCAGCTCGTGCGCTGTGAGCCGCTAACTCCACCCGGCTCAGGAGGCAGGTTCAGGCCAAGACCCAACAGAAACGCACCGCAAATGGTGAAGGCCAAGAAATCACCGTTATGCCCACTAAGAACAGGCAAGGTTTGTTCACAGCACTTCCAAACCGGGAGGGAAAAAAAAACCAGAAGTGCAAGGGTGCTGGAAGGGCTGCTGCGGGGCATGAACTGCACCCTGGCTCTGCCTGGGGGCCATGCTCCCATGCGACTACTCCTCCTCAGCCCAGGGGTCTCCAGGAGCCCAGTCGGTGCTGCAGCCAAGCCGGGGAAGGTGCTGGTGGCGAGGGGGCGGCTCCTCATGCGGGGCTGGAGGAGAGCAACGGCAGTCCCACCCAGCAATACCCGTGGGTGCGGGGAGCCCCCCTCACCCCTGCCAGCTCACACGGCCCACCCCTGCCCACCAGGTACCTGAGCAACGGGTGCCTCCTGTTTCTTGCCTTCTGACACCTGACCAGACGCCGTGCCGCTGCCGGCCCTCACGGCGTTGGCTCTGACGGCTGGCCTTGGCTGGGCTGTGAGCACACTTGTGCTGGTTCTACTGGCTGAAACAGAGTGGGGCGGGGTGCAAGTCAGGGTACACAAGTCATAATCCCCAATTATCAGCCCTTCCTGGGGACACAGCCCAGTGCTCACGGCACCTGCAGCAGAAGCCTGTCTAATGCCCTCCCCCTCAGGGTGCCTGGGTGGCTCAGTACATTAAACGTCTGCCTAAGGCTCAGGTTACAATCCTGGGGTCCTGAGATCGAGTCCTGCATTTGGCTCCCTGCTTGGTGGGGAGTCTGCTCCTCCCTCTGTCCCCAGATCCCCTGCTCATGTTCTCTCTTTCTCTCACAAAAATAAATAAGAAAAAAAAAGCTCCCTCCTTGAGCCTCACAGGCGGGAGCCATCGCTAGCTCCGTGTCGTAAGCTCAGGGGAATCAGCTGTGGCAGTGACCCCAGGACTTCACCCCGGCTCTTCTCACCCTTCAGTCCTCCACGCCACCACCCCTCAGCTGGCCGGGCCACCACTCTGAGCAATGCTGGGGAGCACTGCTACGGAGCAGGACTCTGCATTTAGAAGAGTCTCCGTAAGAATATCATGGTCATCTACAAAGGCTCAGTTCCGTGGGTTCCCTGTAGCGCTGCGTGTTTGCCCCAAAGCCCATGCACGAAGCCCGTAGCTTCCTCCAGCATGGCACTGCCCACGTGAACTATGCTAAGCCCACCCAAAGGACAGCTCTACAGCCAGCAGGAATCACACGGTAAACACGTAATGTCACAGTCGGTCAGGTAGAAACTATGGCACATACACGCACAGTAGGAGCTCACTAAAAACACAGATACAGCCGCAGTTTCTGTAAAGTGAACGGTTCTAAAATGGCAGGAATTACTCCAGACAGTGGAATCATAGTGACATCTTTTCCTCGGTGCTATTCCGTACTTAATGAACCTACCAAAACCAAGTCTTCTTATCATCCTCGTGGAGTGTCATAACAACAACATTAGCCATTTTCCTGATGGCAACGGGAGTATCGCAGATTCTCAGTCATAGAAACCCCAGACAGGGTCCTGTCTCCCACCGAGAGATGGGATCTTTGCCTACGATGTCTCCTTTGGGATTACCTAACCCTTTGTACATGCCACCAGAACTGGGAGGCTCACTACCACCTCACAGCCCTCTCCCCATTCAGGCAGTCAGTAGTTATGAAGCTTTTCCTCCATTACGTAGAAATCTGCTACCTGCAGCTTCTGGCCACTGGCGTGGGTTCTAGCCCTTGGAGCTGGCACAGAGAAGTCCCAGCAAACGGTCTCTGGAAACAGAGATCAGGACGAACCAATGTCGGGTGCAGAGACCTGGCCCCAGGCTCCTCCGGACCCACAACTGTGTGCTGTGTGACTCAGCCAGCAGCCTCCCCTTTCAGGCCGTGGTGAGGTCTGTGCGTGTACTGCATGCATGCACGTGTGCGCATGTGCGTGCATGCGCGCGCCGGCAGCTCCTGCCCGGTGAGCCTGGCGGCCGCAGCACACAACTCAGCCCTGCATGGGACTCAGCCCTGCACGGCAGACCTGTGCTCACCAGGAGTGGAGCACTGCGTCGCGGGGATCACATCTTCATCCTCACTCCCAGAGGAGGAGCTCCTGGCAGTGCTCTCAGAGGCCCGGGCCTTCCTCGGGGTGTTTATAGCTGGGGCGTGCGTGGCGGTAGCAGCTGGGCCAGCTGGACTACGGTTAGGGTCGACAAAAATCAGAGGGGGTTTAATCACCTTGAAAAACAAAAACAAAACATACCCCCCAGTGATTAAAGGCTTGGCCAGGCAAAGGGGAGGGCAGGTGGGGGGCTGCCAGTGCAAAGGGTCCAGAGTGCTCAGGGCCACCGGGCAGGCAGAGGCCACCCCTGCCGCCCATAATGGTCTTCGCATGCCCCTGGCCCATGCACCTGCTAAGACCCACACAGCACCTCACAGCCCCTGGAGCCCCTGAGGTGAGCAGTGCTAGCTCCACTGCACAGCTGGGAGAACTAGAAGTCCAGAGAGGAGAGAAGAGGTGCCCAAGGCTGCACAGCTTCCCTGAACTAGAGCCAAGCGCAGAAGAGCCAATTCAGCCTGCCTTCCTCTGGCTGACTCCAGCAGTCTGGCTGTCATCCACGATGCCCCTGCGGAGCTGCGCACAACCAAGCTGCCCCTGCCCCAGAGACACTGGGGCGGCCCACTAAGTTGTGGCCCGGGGTGCCACAAGCCAGCTACTCTGACCCCACATCTTTGGCAAACCAACTGCACAGGGGAAAAGCCAAGGCGAAGATGTTAAGGGACCAAACGCCGTGTGCGGCCCTGTGGGAACTCTTATCCAAACACACCAGAGATAAAGACCGCTATTCGTGAGACACTCTGGGAAGCGGGGATGCCCAGTGCGCAGGCCAGTTTCTTGGGGTGACGTTGTATATACGGTGGCTGTCCTCTCAAAGAAAGGAACCTGGGGGTGCTAGGGAAGGAGTGGAGGGTTTGCACAAAGTGGGCCTGGTCACCAGGGCAGCCCTGCTGAGGCAGGGGAAGGCTCGTAGGGGTTCTTCACGCTGTTCTATCTTTGGGCAGGCTTTACAGCTTCCAGCGAGGCAGCACAAGGCAGAGAAAGAGGCTGCTCCCTGGGATCCTGTGGACCAGGCCGGGGTCACAGCTCCAGTGGGTATGCCCACAGCATGCGAGGTCACTTCACATACTTGGAGCCAGCGAGCCAGGTGAGCCCACACCTTCCATCCCCAGAGGTCAGTCTGTCTGAATTCCATGCCCTCTTTGGCCTGGGGGGAAACACAAGGCAGCCGGAGGAAGCTGCCCAAGGCCAAGGTCTGGGACCCCATCTCGCCCTTTACCTTTGGGGCTCAGGGTGCGGTGGGAGAGGCACCATGAAAAGTCAAGCAGAGAGGGGCCCGCCCGAGGGTGGGAGTTCTGCTGGGCTGGGGCCCTTCCCACCCTTGCCAAACAGCCTCCCCCGCGGCTGCTCTGATCTGCCACTTCCAGAGCCTGCCTTCCCACATGATGAAAGAGAGAAGGATGGAAAGTGGGAGAAGGCTTACAGTTGAGGGAGGGGGGATCTATATATATGTGAGAAGACAGAGGAACAGATTGTCGGGGACGAAGAGAGGCACCGAACCCACCGAGGCAAACAATAGCGTCTGGGATGTTAAAAGCAGCTCAGCAGCAAAGCCTCCTCCTCCCTGTTGCACCTGCCCACACGGCCTCGGTGCCGCGGGCGGAGCAGGGGGTGTGGCGCTGGAGGGCAGGACGAGAGGGGTCGGGGGCTGAGCCCAGGACCCAACAGCAGTGCAGTGCCAGCGCGCCGTTCGAAAGGTGGGCCGTGGGACCCAGGGAATTGAGGAAACCCGTCTCTGATCCCACCTCTGCTGGACCTCACCATGCGTGGAGGCCCCTGAGCACTGAGGGCCTCAGTTTCCCACCTGTTAACAGAGCTATTAGTAATCCAGGCTGGGCTCGCTCGCCAGAGGGGCTCTGATGTGCTTTGAAACTGCACAGCACAAGACACAGAGGTGAAAAATTCACGGGAAGCTGATGCAGCCAGACACTGGCTGGGCCTCCCTGCAGGTGCCGGGCAGCAAGGGCCTCCAGGGGAGGCAGGGACTCCCTTCCTACCACAGAACCAAACTTGGGGGCCTTTCGTCACAGCTGGGCTCACCAGCTGTGCCCTCATTCCAGTCTGGGGCCGAGTGGGGGTTGGGGGGCTGACCAGCCCCGGCTGTTAACTATGGAAATAAGGGACAGAGCTGAGAAGGCACCCAAAAGCCCCTCACAGAACTGCCCGGGGGCTAGTCAGCAGGTCCTGGGCCAGCCCCACACAAAAGGGCTGGGAAATCCCACTCTCCAGGGGTGGGCCTGGAGCCTCGTGGTTCTCCAGCCCCCAGGGAATGTCACCCCATGGGATGAGAAGGTTGAGGCTCAAGAGAGGGCAAGCGGCCTCACCCAGGGTGACCAGCAAACTCTGCCAAGCTAGACTGGAAGTCCTGGAGCATCAGACAGGAACTCCTTCTGGGACCAACCATGCTGAGGCTCCGACTTAACACTCTAATTCAGTTCTTTACAGTCTTTATCTCAGACTCGACCCGAAATGTTGAGGGCAGAGCTCAGGTCTTTTTAATATGGTATCTACCCTAGCACAGACCCTGGCCTGGGGTTCATTATGCCAGCCCAAGAGGGCGGAGCCACAGACCATCCCCTCTGAAGTCTCTCTCAGAAAAAGAGGCTGGGGTCCATCCTTGCAGGTGGGGAGACTGGGGCACAGTGAGGGAGCCTGGGAATGGAGCCACAATCGCCCGCCTCCCAGCCTGAGGCTCTGCCCTCCGCAGACACTGATGCCTTTTCTCCACAGACAGGCTTGTAACAAAAACAGAGGGAAACGTGTCAATGGAGAAGTACCTGACAAATGCATAACAGCGAGACTAATCACGCTCTGCGAGCTGGGGACGAAGGAGCGAAGCAGACCCCGGCAGGGAGGAGAGGCTGCAGCTTCCTCAGGCTGCGCCGTCTGCCCTGAATCCTCCGAGAGAAACACATGAAATGCCAACTTTTCTCCTGCTTCTTTTTTAACAGGGACTCCAGAACCTTCAGGACTAACGTACCAATTAAATGGTTGAGCTTAAGCATGATGTTCATTTAATTATGTTGGCCCCCGCATCGCAGGGCGCAGCAGCCCCCTCCCTCCCAGCTGTCCCGATCTGCTCAGAGGAGGAGGTGGCCTTCTAATGGCGGCGGCCCTGCTCTTTCCCTGGTGAGAGGCCAGTGCACGCAGTGCCAGGCCACGGGCACAGTATGGCCGGCCTGGATTCAAACGCCAGGTCGGTCCACTTGTTCTGGCCATGGGACACCAGGGTAGGACACTCAACTTCTCTGAGCCTCACTCCTTCCTCCTTCAAACGGGAATAAAGGGACTGCCTCCGAAGGCTGCGGTGGGGACCGAGCAAGATAACGGAGGACGGGGTTTGGCACCCAGAAAGTGACCGGTAATGGCAGGTGTAGCTGTTCATCAGGATTTCTGTTACCTGTGCTACAGAGCAGGGAACGGCAGCGAGCACCCCACCCTGTCACTGGAGGTGGCACGTGGCATCTGACCTCCCCGGTGGGCCAATCAGCACATGGTAAGGCAGGTGTACGAGGGAGTGGTTAAGGAGAGGGTCTGGTAACTGTAGAACGCCAAGGACCCTGAGGAGACCTGGCAGAGGCGTCCAGGCAGCTGGGGCTAAAGGACTAAGGGCACTGCCATCTTCTGGCAAGGCTGGGCTTACACAGAGGCCTGGACTCAGCAAGCTGGGAAGACAAGGTGGGCCTGGTCCCAACCTTTGGGGGTGAGTCCGGGGAAGGTGGCGGGTGCAGCAGAGCATGTGAATGCGCACCATGGGCACCGGAGTGAGATCCCAGACGTGCCCATCGGATTCCAACAAGCCCCATGGAGAAGGCTTTTGATCCCAAGCAGCAAGCAGGGATATACAGGGAGCAGAGGGCCAGCATCGCCCCTGCCCTGGTGTCTTACAGATCATGAGGATGTGGGGAGCGGATTTCACCTCACTGGGCTCTGGGTCCCGATGCCTCAAGTGGGCCACAGCGCGGGCCCTCCCGCGGTAACCGGCGTGCCCCATCAGGCAGCACGCTGCGCATGGACACAGGAGGGAGGTCTGCCCCCTGCCTGCTGCCGGGGCAGACACCTCGGCCTCAGACAGGGAGGGTGTGCCCGGGGTCATGGAACTGGCAGCTAGGAGAGCCAGCCCGGTTTGGCTCTGAAGCCTGGATGTTCAAGGACGTTCTGTGGCCTACTTCCCGGGGTCACCGTGAAGGTGAGCAGATCAACCAGGAGACTGTGAGGTGCTGTTTAAATGGCAAAGGTCTGCCCTCACTCTCCCCCCACCCCCAGGGCCCACTGCCCTGAGTCTGCAGTGTCCAAAGCCAAGGAAGGGCCTACCTGGCTGGATGGCAACTCCTCGTCACTGTTCTCTGAGGACCCCTCTGCGTTCTTCTCTGGGGGTACTGGTGCCAGGGGCTTGCTTCTGGCAGCTTTGGAGATACCCTCCTTCTGGGGGGACAAGCACACAGGTAGGGGAGAAGGGGTGTTAGCCGATGGGGAACGCGACTGAGGGACTAGGGCAGGGAAACCCTGGCCAGGGAGCAAGGACCCTTCCATATGCTGGCTGTCCACGGGTGGCAGCATGGCCCCCTTACTATATGCACAGGAGGATAGCGGCTGGCTTGGCATCCCCGAGGCCCCTGGAAACCCAGGCCTGCACTCTGCCGATGCCCCCTCCAAGGCTGACTCTGAACTTGAAAGGGATGTAGGAGTCAGACCCCACTAAGACCTGAGGACTGGAGTGCTACTGGCCAGGCATCCAGAGGAGAGGAGACAGCAGTCCAGGACAAGGTTGCAGAGGTGAGCCAGTGGTCCCAGCACGCTCTATCTGTCTGTAACACCCCCAAGGTAAAAAAAAGCAGGAGCCAGCCGGAAGTGTCCCGAGGCTCCACCCCCACCGACCCCCCCCCGCCCTCAGGCAGCGGGGCTGCTTAAGCAGGGGCCGCGGTGGGGGGGCCAGAAGAGGAGAGCACGGAGAAGCAGGCACCAGTGGTGACCAGCTCAGGGGAGCCCAGGGCAGGGGCCAGAGTCCCCCACCCCCTTCACTACTCAGTCCGGCCGAGCAAAGCGGCAGATCCACCTACGCTATCCGAGTCCGGTTTCTCAGGAGCAGCTACGAGATCCTGAATTGTGTCATCTCCTACTTTTTAAATGGGTCAGCAACACTGCACACAGCAACAGCTGTGCCCCATGCCTTCCTCGCTATCAGAACCCTGACTCTGCTCTGCTAGGGTTGGTGGCCCCCTCTCCCAGCCAATCACAGAACCACAGGCCCCTCATCACTGAGCAGGGGAAGCCCATGCCTTAGATCTGGACAAGGAGGTGAGGGGAAGGGAGGTCAGCTTGGTGGACATCCTAGCTCTTCTGGGGACGCTGCGGCCCTGCCATGACAGCGAATGGAAGACGGAAGAAATCTGGGTCACCCATGAGGCCGAGCTGAAGGAACCACCTCTGGAGCAGCTTTCCCCCAAAGCCTTGTGCTCTGTGAGGTAACCAATCCCCTTTAAGCTCTTGGAATTAGGTTTTCTCTCCCAGATTCAGGAACCCACTTAAAACTTCAAAAACAAACCAAAATATTGCCGTGTCTGAACAGGCCTGGGACCCTTGTGTCTCAGTCTGGCACTTAGGCCCCCACAGACGTGACAAGCAACTAGAAGTGACTACTGCTTACAGGACATCTGGCCCTGGTGGAACCCGCCTAGCTTCACATTGCCTCCCCTTGGCAAACCCCTGCCCTGGAGTGCCTGGCTCTACTTTTTTGTCTGGTGAACCCCTGGTCTTCCTTCAAGCTCTGCTCGATCATCTCTTCCAACCGCTAGACACCTATTCTCCCAGCTCCATTGGACAGAGCACTACCAGAATATTCTCCAATAATCTAGCTACTTCATCTTGTCCCACTGACTATAGGCCCCATGAGGGCAGGGCCAACATCTTTCATCCCTTTATCTCTGCCAGTGAGAAAGAGCGTTTGTAGTTGGTCTGATGCACTGAAGACAGTGGTCAGTGCTAGAAGCATTTAACAGACTTCTTGGTGCTTGTTTAGCTTCTGAAAAAAAAACCCAGAAACCTAAGAGAGGAGGAGCTCGGCCTGGCACAGGGATTTCCAGCTTCCCTTAAGAAACAGAGATGTGGCCACATAGAGGTACATTTCCACAAGGTCATAATCTGCTGCTGGAGTTGACAGGGACCGTCTTTCTAGTTGGGACCAGAGCTCTCCAGTTTGCCCTAGCTGCCACCACCTTCTACTGCCTCTTCTGACACCAAGGCTCAATGTCGGCTACCAGGCCATCTCACGTACGAGCCCTCTCTGTCCTGGAGTCTGTTTCCCTGAACTTCTGCAGGACGAGGCTACTCCTGCTGCCTTCTGCACAGACAGAAGGGAAACCATCCACAGCAAAGTCGGTTCCTCATTCCCTCCCTCTCCCCACTCCCCAGGCTTCATCCGGCTAAGCTCTCCATGGGGTCCCAGGTGAGGGAGGGGACTCCTCTAGCTCCCTGGTGCCTCCTGGTACTTGCATCACAGCCCAAGCCTGAAGACACCCTGTGACATCCTGGTATTCTCAGCCTCATTTACCTTGGCAGGAATTGCTGGTCTCGCCTTCTGTGGGGCTGGCGTGTCTCCTCGGGCTACGGAGGCCTCGGTGGATACAGGAGTGCCCGGGACACCTTTCATCAGGGAGGCCTTGGTTTGCGGGTGCTTTATAGCAGGTTTCGCCTAAAGAGACACAGAGGATGGCCGCTGGGGTAAGGGTCCAGGAGTCACGGCTTTCATCTGGTCTTCTTTCCTCACCTGGCCCTGAACCCAAGTCCTGAGTGCGGAGAGGGCGGCGGCAGCTCAGAGGCCTGGTGTTGCAGCGGCTTCCTCGTTAGGCCTCACCTGGGCTGGCGCCTCCTCCTCGCTGTCAGACTCCTCACTGCTGCTCTCCGAGTCCTCCTCTGGCTTCCCTGCCTGGGTGGCCATGGCTCCTGTCTTCTTGGGAGGGGCCGCTGCAGCCCCTTTCCTGGAGAACTCCTTGCTGGGGGCTGAAGCAGTTCTGACCTGGGGGCTCTTCCCTGCAGGCTTCACCAGGAGTGAGAGAAACAATTAGGGGAGAGAGCCAAAGGAACCGCAAGAGCTGCTCTCCACTCTCCCCGGGCCTCACCTGAGTGGGGACCTCTCCATCACTGTCCGACTCCTCGCTGCTCTCTGAGTCCTCCTCCTGTGGGCTCTTGATTGGCCCCGGCTGTGCCGGGGCTGCTGTGGCCACTGCCTTTCCCACAGCTGGCAAGGACCCCTGGCTCCTCCCTGAGACAGCATTGCTCTGGGGAGTTCTCGCTGGTGGCTTTACCTGCATCGTGAGAAGGTAACGGCATTGGGGAAGGAAGCAGACAGCACAGCTCCATTTAGGTTAAGCCCACTCACGGTGTGACTGTGCAGAAGTCTGTCCCGCCTGTGCAGAGCCCTGGCTAGGCTGAGCCAACTGTGTGGTCCTCCTCTCCTCCCCACCTCTGGCGCCTCCTGGGCTTCTGGACCCACTTGCCTTGGCTGGGGACTCCTGCTTGGCTTGAGCAGCTGCCATGACCCCTTTTCCTGGAGCTGATGCTGCCCCTTTGGCTGAAGCTGCTCTGGTGGGAGCTGGGTTGGCTTTGCTCTGAGGAGTTTTCATAGAGGCCTTCATCTGGAAGGAGAAACAAGAATTATGGGAGAAGGTGAGATGCAGCAGAGTGGTTAGCCAAGAACTCTGATTCTGGAGTCAGATGCTGGACTTTGGATTCTTGCTCTTCCATTTAATAGCTGTACGAAGCTGGGCAAATCACTAACCTCTGTGGCCTCAGTTTCCTCCTCTGTAAAATGGGGCTAACAATAATGCCCACCCACAAGGTTATCATGAGGATTAAGTGGGAGAGTCACAGTGTTTAGCATGTTCCTGGCACATAAACTCATTATTGTGAGCACTTTTCTTAGTGTTAGCTAAGCACCAGCCTACCCAGAGCAGATGTACTTTTCCAGGCTCCCTTTTCAACTAGGTGGCCACGAGTTTAACTTCTGGCTAACAGAATGGAAGTCAAGTATACAATTCAACTTTCTTACACAGTTGAAAACATGGTCTTTTTTTTTTTTTTAAGATTTTATTTATTTATTTGACAGAGATATCACAAGTAGGTGGAGAGGCAGGCAGAGAGAGAGAGGAGGAAGCAGGCCCTCTGCTGAGCAGAGAGCCCGATGCAGGGCTCAATCCCAGGACCCTGGGATCATGACCCGAGCCAAAGGCAGAGGCCTTAACCCACTGAGCCACCCAGCGCCCCGAAAACATGGTCTTCTTCCTTCCAGCTGGAAGAAATGCTGAGGTAACAGCTGGAGCTCTAGCAGCCATAATAGCATATGAGGCAGGAGCCAGGTACTCAAGATGGCGGAAGAAGACAGAAAACCATGGCTGTCTGAGGTTTTCTTCAGTTAAACCTAATCTTAACTGATATCCAAGGGATTCCCCCAAACTCTCTCGGGGTATCCAAGCAAACACAGACCTAGAAAGATGAGGGCAACAAGGAGTAAAACCTTTGATGATAAGATCGCGGACAGGAGTGTGAAAGCAAACTGGGCTAATGTGAGGCAGAATGAGGAATCTCAGTGTCTCTAGGCCCATGACTCATTCAGAGATGTCATCTGATCAGTGACTTCCCCATCCACATGAGACCAAGTGAAACTAAGAATCAGTACTTCAAGAAAGAAAGTGTTCTCAAGCACAGACTGTGTCTGGCAAAGGTCAAGGTGCTCATCAGCACAGAAAAGTCATCCAGAGAGGAGCAAGGTCTTTTACATTAACTTAAGAAAACAGAGACACCAGCACTAAGGTGACCTCACAAGTGTTAATACAGTACAAAATAGGACTCATGAAGCAAAAAAAACCTGAATAGACCCATAATAGTTTTTGATATTGACTTAATAATTAAAAAATCTTCCACACACAAAAAATCCAGGCCCACGTATCCTTATTGGTGAATTCTACTAAGGAAGAAGTAATACCAATCCAACATAAACCCTCAGGAAACAAAGGAGAGAATACTACCAAACCCATTTCACGAGGTCAGTGTCACCCAGATACCAAACCCAGGCCAACACATCACACAAAAACTACAGACTAATATTCCTGACGGATATAGACGCAAAAACTGTAGCAAACCAAATCCAACAACAGAAAAGGAGCAGACAGCATGTCCCAGTGGGATTTATTGCAAGAATGAAGGGTTGATTTAATACCTAAAAATCAACTACAAGAAATATATCACATTAACAGACGGGAAAAAAAAAACCAAAACAAAACAGTAAGATCACTTCAAGAGAAGAAAAGCATTTGACAAAAATTCAACTCCAAACCTCACAATAAAAACTCAACAAACTAAGAGCAGAAAAGAACTTCCTTGGGGGCAGCTGGCTGGCTCAGTCAGTGGAGCATGGGACTCTTGATCTTGTGGCTGTGAGTTTAAGCCCCACGTTGGGTGTAGAATGTACTTAAAAATAAAATCTTAAAAAGAAAAGAAAAGAAAAAAGAACTTCCTCATCCTGATAAAGGGCATCTTTGAAAAACTTAGAGCTAAAAAGCTAAAATCATACTAACCAGTGAAAACACTGAATGCTATACCCTAAATGAGAAAAAAGGCCAGGCTGGCTGTTCTCACCATTGCTATTCAACATTGTACCTGAGGGTCTAGCCAGTGCAGTAAGACAAGAAAAAGAAATATACGCTGTCTAGACTGAAGAGGAAAAAGTAAAACTGCCCTTGTTCACAGACAACATGCTTTGTATATAGAAAATCCCAAGGAGGGGCGCCTGGGTGGCTCAGTGGGTTAAAGCCTCTGCCTTCGGCTCAGGTCGTGATCCCAGTGTCCTGGGATCAAGCCCCGCATCGGGCTTTTTGCTCAGCATGGAGGCTGCTTCCCTTCCTCTCTCTCTGCCTGCCTCTCTGCCTACCTGTAATCTCTGTCTGTCAAATAAATAAATAAAATCTTAAAAAAAAAGAAAATCCCAAGGAATCTATAAAAGCAAAGAAAACAGGTAAGCAAATATAATGTCGTAAGATGTAGTATCAACAAGGACACCTGGGTGACTCAGTTGGTTAAGTGACTGCCTTCAGTTCAGGTCAGGATCCCAGGGTCCTGGGATCGAGTCCCGCATCAGGCTCCTTGCTTAGTGGGGAGCCTGCTTCTCCCTCTGTCTGCTGCTCCCCCTGCTTGTGCTGATGAATAAATACAATCTTAAAAAAAAAAAAAAAAAAAAAAGGAAAGAAAAGAAGAAAAAGATGTACAGTCAACATACAACACAAGGTCAGGCCCTAAAGGCATCCTCCCACTTATTCAGCCAATCATCACAGGCCAACTGGCCATTTCTCCCACCCCTTTCACACAAGGGCTCTCTTCCTATGGCATTTCAATGGAGAATCACCTCCTTCTCTGTCTCTGGCACATCTGGTTTTCCAGAACCAGTCCTGTGTTTGTTACTTTGTTCTGAACCTCAGCTCTCACATGGACAGCTTCCTTTGAGCTGGCTAGGGTCTCTGAGCAGAGCAGAGACTGTGTGACTCACTTGACCCCAGCAGTACTGAGCGTGCGGGACGCACTCAGTGTGCACAGATGGCATTCTGCGAGGGAAGCCATACGAGGATTCTCAGTTCATCCCCACCAGAACCCCGCAACAGAGGCTTGATTATCCTTATCCTTCAGATAAGACTCCTATCAGAGCCGCCTGTCTCAGCGGAGGCAAGTCAGGCCTCCTGAAGCTAGGGGTAAGCACCATCTTCTGACAGGGCAACAGGCTATAAAGCTGGGCCCCTAGAGAGGGATTAGCCGTTTTATTTTGTGTGTTGGAAGAAAGTAAAGCCCCAGAGCATAATCATGTCTGTGGTTGGAAAAGTCTGGGCCAAGATGCAGCAGAAGGATATATGAAAGTCAAAGGCTTTTGAGGCAGGCATGCTGGGGCCTAGGCCCAGCTCAGACCCTCCCTGGCTGGGCTGAAGCAGGTCAGCAACCAACTCTTCTAAGCTCTAATTTCCACCTCCAGAAACCAAAGCGAGCAAACACTCGACTAATGGTACTGATGGGAGGCTCAGACACTGAAGCAATGAGCACAACGAAACTTTTCAGGCATTGGGACATGTCTGTAGCTTACAAACAGGATAAGAGCTGTTGGGCTAGGACTCCAACAGGGCCTGCACACAGGTCAAAACCTCACTAGCGGAATCACAGGAACCTGTGTCCCACAAAGCAAAAGGGAGAGGGAAACAAACAAACGAACAAAAATTATAGAAAATGTGTGCTTTGATATAGGGAAAAAAAAGAAATGACTAAAGAGCGACAATTACAAATAATAAGATGGTGAGTGAGCACAGGGCATGAGTGATCTTCACTTTCCCCAACTTCTCTCTTCCAGGCTGGGAGGGGACTCCTGAGTCTGCTCCCCATCAGCCTGGCCCCCTCCCAGGGTCGATGAACGAGCCTGCACTGCGCAGGCCCCTTGCTGGGTGTGCAGGTGAGACCCCATTACCTTCTCAATCCTTCGAAGGCAGATTTCCAATTTACAGACGAGTAAAACCAAGGTCCTGCGTGGATTCCTCACTTGCTAGGACATGTTGCTAGGACCTGAACCCAGGCAGTCTGGCTCCAAACCCCCTGCCGTCTGCCCCTGCCCTACCTGCTCCCTCAGGGATCCCGCCAAATGCTCTGCTTGGGGCAGTTCACTCAGGCCAAGTGCCCTCCCACCCTTTGGGCCTTCATACAGGCTAGTTTCTTTGCCTAGAACACTCCGCCCTCCCGCCGGCTCTTTCAGCCCAGATTTCCCAATGCCACTTCCTCCAGGAGGCCCTCCTTCCTGGAAACCCCTAGATGCCATCACCTGCCATGTTGTTAGCCCACGTACAAGCTCTATTCTCAACCTTGGCACACCATGCTGGAGTAACCTGGGCACACGTCCATGCCCCCACCTACACTGGGAACTCCCGGAGGGAGACAGGACAGTGCCCGGCAGATGGGCTGCTCAACAGAGCTTGTGGAAGGCATAAGGAATCTCAACAGGAGCTCAAAAGGCCACCGGCAAGACGCTGCTGCCTCTGATAGGTGGAGGAGACAGAGTGAAAAGTGGGGAAGGAGGCTGGGCTGAGGCTGCCCTTGAGGTTTCTGCACATGCAGGGGGCGGGGGTGGGGGCAAGAACAGTCCAGAAAAGCCGCTCCTCAGCCCTGCCCCAGGCTCTGGTGTGGGTGCTATGGACTGGCTCTTCCTTGGCCTCACCTGGGCAGGAGCTTTGGCCGCCTCCTCACTGTCAGAGTCCTCCTCACTGCTCTCCGAGGAGTCTTCCGGCAGCTCAGCTTTGACTTTGACTGGGGCCACTGCAGGCCCTGCCTTTCCAGGGGGTGCTGCGGCAGTCCCTTGGCCTGAGGGCCCTTTGGTGGGTGTAGAGGCAGTTTTCACGGTGACACCTTTCCCCACAGGCTTTGCCTGGAATGAGAGGGGACGGAAGCGGGTCACAGGTGCCCCAGGGGCCACGTGAGCACTGGCCCTGAGTCAGCTGAATAAACTTGGCCTCACCTGTCCCACGGCTGGGGCAGGAGCGAGGTCCTCCTCACTGTCGGACTCCTCGCTGCTTGAAGAGTCCTCTGGCCCCTGGACGCCCCTGGCCATAGCTGGGGATGAGGCACAGGCTGGAGAAGTTGCTGCTCCCACCTTCCAAGGAGCTGGCGTGCCCACTCGCGCTGGGGGGGCCTTGGCAGGTGCTGGGGTAATGGGGGTGCCCTTCCTTGGGGAGGCCTTGATCTGGGGTGTTTTCACAGCTGGTTTTGCCTGAGAGGAAGCAGAAGTCAGAAGCTAGAGAAGGAGCCTGAATTCAGAGCCCCCGTCTGCTCTGGGGTGGAGCCCCACTGCCATCCTTCCCCTCTGCTCCCCGGGGAGCTGACTGGCGGGGGTGGTCAGGCTGCACCGAGGCCCCTCCTGAGCCCCACCTGGGCTGGAGCCGGGGCTGCAGGTGCCTTCTCGTCACTGTCTGACTCCTCACTGCTCTCCGAGTCATCCTTGGACACCTTGGCCTTGCCCTGGGTGGTCACAGACCCTGCCTTCTGAGGGGGCCCCTTGGCAGGACCTGAGGCAGGTCTGACCTGGATCTTCCCAGAGGATTTTGCCTGTAGTGAGACACACAAGATCAGGGGAGGGGGCGGAGAGCATGGCTGTGTGCAGAGACACAGACTGAGAGGGCAAGCGGAGACAGTGTGTGTGTGTGTGTGGTCCGGGGAAGACGGCTCCTGGCCCTGAGTGGGAGAGAAGAGCCTTACAGGCAGGCGCCTCACCTGGGACGGCGCCTCCGCCTCACTGTCTGATTCCTCCTCGCTGCTGCTCTCTGAGTCCTCCTCCTGTTTCCCTACTGGGGTGGCTGCCGGCCCCACCTTCTGAGGGGCCCCCTTGACAGGACCCGAGGCAGCTCTGACTTGGGAGTTTTGCCCCAAAGGTTTTGCCTGGAAGTAACAACAGACGAGATCAGGGCAGGGGCCCACAGAGAACTGTGTGTGAGGGGAGACAGGAGAGGAAGGCAAACGCAGGGCGCAGGGCCCCAGGCGCGGAGGGGGAGGACAAGCCAACGGATGGGCTCTCCGAGCAGCGGCACCTGCCCCCTCACCTGAGCAGGGCTCTTGGCTGGGGGCACAGCTGCTGGGGCCTCCTCCTCGCTGTCGGACTCCTCAGTGCTACTCTCTGCGTCGTCTTCCCTCTTCCCCACCTGGGCGGCTACAGGCCCTGCCTTGCCAGGGGGCAGTGCAGGAGCTGCTTTCCTAGGGGACTCCTTGGCAGAAGCTGAGGCACCTTTGACCTGGGGGGTCTTCCCTGAAGGCTTCACCTGGAGGGAGACAAATGGAATCAGGGAAGGGAGCCCAGAGAGTGGACATGAGGAGGAGACACAAGAGACCAGACAGGGCAGAGGACGCCACACAAACCTGAGGTGAGCTGGGGTGGGGCTCTGAGCATGTCTAGGGCTCTTGCAGATGGCAGAGCAAGTCCTCAGAGGGCCTTCAGGGGAGGGGCTCGCGCTGCACGGACCTTCCCCTCCCAGGCCTCACCTGAAGTGGTGTCTTAGCAGCCGGCGCCTCCTCCTCGCTGTCAGATTCCTCCTCACTGCTGCTGTCTGAGTCCTCCTCTGGCTTCCCGGCCGTGGCCTGCGCAGCTGCAGGCCCTGCCTTCCCAGGGGGTGCTGGGGTCGCCCCTTTCCCAGAGTTCCCCTTGACAGGACCCGATGCAGCTCTGACCTGGACAACTGTGTCTGAGGCCTTCACCTAGTAAAAGAGAAGGAGTGGTTTGTTCCTCTCCTCCTCACCCTCTGGTGGGGACCTCAGGACAAAGTGGAGGCCTTAGCTGGGGCCCAGAAGACACCCCCACTACTCTCCTCACTCTACCTTGATCGGTGCTCAGGCCTGGCCTATCAGCTTCACTCTCACTTCTGGGGCCTTCCCAGCCCCGCCCGTCCCACTTGGCCACCACCGCCTCCTCCTTTGGGTCCAAGACAGACACCAATTCCTTCAGCAGTCCTCCCTGATGCCCACACAGGGGTCAGAGCTGCCCTCGGCTGGACTTCCCCGTCAGCGGGAGAGCTCTGGGAGCATAGGCACCAGGTCTGGCCTAGCCCACTGCTGCACCCTGTGTGTAACAATTCTCACTCCCACTGCTGCCTCAGGGCCTTGGCACTTGCTGTGCTCCCCACCAGAATGACTTCTGTCTAAATGTCCATGTGCATGCCCCTGCCCCCGCCCTGCTTCAGGTCCTCCACGTCTCTGTAAGGCTTTCCCTGAGGACTCTACTTTAATTACCATTCCTACAGCACAGCCCACCTCACCCTCCTCTTAAACACCCAGCAAAATGAACCTTATTTACTGCACCTCCCCAGACCTGTGAGGGGACCGGGACCTCCCCTCCTGGGCCTCACCTGGCCAGCTCAGGGCTGCGGGGCCTTTTCCCACCACTGTCTGATGCTTCCTCCTCCTGGCTCTCCAACCCCAACAGCCTCCCAGCAGCCCCTGCTTTCCCTCAGACGATCCAGGAGCCCTGGCCACCTGCCCAGGGGAGGGGATCCCAGCAGATGGAAGTTAACAGGATTCCTGTTAGCTAACAAACCATGATTTGGCCAGAGAAGCCAGATGACCAAGCAATTAAAACTTAAATCCCTTCACAATAAGACCAGCTGGCCACATCCATTCATTAGACAGGGAAACTGAGGTAAAGGGGAGTTACTGATAGAGCAGAGTTTAGGACCACCCCATGGGAAGCAGCCTTCTAAGCTGCCACTCGGGCAAGAAGGGCAATTTCCACAGGTGGCTGAAGCAAGCCCAACTGTCCTTGCCCCTCAATTTTCACACCCTCACCTCCTGGCCCCCAAATGCCAAGGTGAGGCTCATTTGGTGGAGGTGCTGGTCATGCAGGCGTCCGGCCGGCCTCTGGGGGCCATGGAAGAGTCCCTGGCTGCAGGGGGGCCCGGGACGCCGGGGGTAGTCTGCCCCAGGCCTCACCTGGCGGGGCGGCTCCGCAGGGGCGCCCTCCTCACTCTCAGACTCCTCTTCGCTGCTCTCGGAGTCCTTTTCTGGCACCTTGGCCTTGTTGGCTGGGGTCAGGGCACCTCCTCTGACTTGGGGGGTCACACCCCCTGCCTTCCCAGGCATTGGGGCTGCCCCTCTTCCTAGAGAGTCCTTGGCAGGCACTGGTGAGGCTTTGACCTGGGGTGGTTTTACTGAAGGTTTCATCTGGAATGAGAAAATGCAATTAGGGAGAAATTACTCCTCTTTGCCTCTGAGGGGTAGGAGAGGCTCTATGGTTTATCAAGGCCTTTCCTTGTATCCTCCGATTCTCAACTCCCTGAGACAGACGCCATCTTTACACTCACATTCCAAAAAAGGACAAGAAGCTCAGGGAGGTTGAGGAGGTTGAGTCATTCAAGACCAAAATGAAGGGCAAAATCATGACTAGAACCGTGACTGTGTGGCCTTGGGGGCAGAACCCTCTAACACTATGCTCCCCTGCCGCCTGGCATGCACAGTCCACCCAGCCCAGACGGGCAGTCTCTCTCCACCGGGAGGCTCACCCCGTCCCCCCTTCGACTGCAGGATCTGATCATGGTGGCCATCCCAAGGGCCAGGAGGCTAGGATTTGAACTCTGGTCTTGCCACTTGCTTTCCGGGGCACGTTTCTCTCCGCTATGGGCTTTCTTATACTTCTAAAACCCTGACATTTCCAAGGTAGGCAATGCCCTACCTCCACCTCCGTCATCAGATTTCACCTGACCTTGGGTTCCTGGGGAAGCCATCTCCTCAAGTTGCTATGGCCTTTGGCCCACCAAAGCTGTGAGTCTGGCTGCTGGCTTTCCAGGGCCAGAAGTGGTCCCCTTTCCCGTGGCAGGGCTGGGAGGAATGGGAGCCCGAGGAGCCCTGATGGCTGTATCCGGGTGGCAATGGGATGTGGGGAGCAGCCTTTGGCCAGGCCTGGGAGAGAGAGGAGGAAGGTCTCCACCTTCACTGGGTGAGGCGGGAGACAAGGGAGAAGTACTCTGGGCACCAAACCAACTCCCCCCACCCAAAATCCTGCTGGTTCTCCCTCCACACGCCCTTTCTAGTAGGCGCCCTGGGGCCTGCCATCAGCCTCACTACACCAGCTGCTTCAACAGTCTCGCTGCTTTCCCTCTGCCCTGTCCTCCAACCCAGGCCACAACCAGCAACCTCTCTCCAACATAAATCAGGCCGTCTTACCTCCATGCCTGAAACCTTGCAATGGCTTCTTACATAGCCCAGAGTACAACCCAACCTCCTCCTGCCCATCCTCCTGGCCCGGCAGCGGACTGTGGCCCCGCCTACTCTGACCCCTCTTCTGTCCCTTGCACCTCGTCCACGGTGTCACAGCCTTGTTGCTGCCCCTCGGGGCTCTCTACGTTTCCTCTAGCGACCTGCGACACTGTAGTCAAACTTCCCAGGACGCCTCCATGTCCTCTCCACGTCCCTCCTGCCTGCCCCTATATTCCCAAGGCGTGGATGCCCCATCAAGAGTGACTCCCTGATCACAGCTACGAGAGGGGTTAACGCCACAGACCAACACCTGACCATCACTGACCATGCACCTAGGCCTGGCATTCACCAGCCGGCCCAGAACCCCTCACCCAACTCACCTGACCATACCACCTATGGCCGCCCTCCTGCCCCGGCCCTTGGCTCGTGCAGCTCTTCCTGCTGAAACACTCTTTCCTCCCCCACATCCCTTCCTGGTGAGTCCCCTATGCGTCAAGGCTGTGCTCCAGTGCCACCTCTCCCAGGAAGCCTTCCCTTGTCTCACAGACAGGTTGACATCTCTCCCTGCCAACCTGAGACCTCTCTCATGCCCAAGGTATGACAAGCAGCACCTGGCTCCCCTCCCCAGGTCTCAGCCTCTCCAGCTCCCAGTCTGCCTGAAACACTAGAACTGATTTGGCCCCACTGGTGTGTGAAGCTCCAGCCAGGCTGCTGGGAGGGTTAGAGGTTAGACGGCAGCTCCTGAGGACAGTGGCAATTACCTCCACGTAGGTCTCATCGCTCGAGCTGGAGGTCTCCTCGCTGGAGCTGTCAAGCTGGTTGGCTGAGGCCATTCCTGAGGGAGGAAGAGGGAGAGGACTGAAGAACTGCCCTTCCAGACCGCCCTCCCCTCGCCAACGCTCTGCCACGTCAGCCAATGAGAGGCAGAGGCCCTGTGCTTGCTTCTTGCGTGCCGAGCTTCAGCCCCACCTATCCTGAAGCCCCACAGCTGAGGCGCGGGCCACCCATCTCCGTGTTCCCACACACTGTGGCCCTGGGAAGGGTCAGAGACCAGGTCCTACTACACACAAGCCAGCATCTGATGTCTCGGAGATCTCCTGCCATCATCACACTGAGGCAGGCAGGCAAACGCCTATTTGACATGAGAGACTGAGGCAAACCCAGGCTCTCACTTGAGTCTCAGCCTCTACAGTGGGCCCCGGGCCCACCTGAGAACAATAAACCAGAAAATGCTCCATCACCACCCATGGCTGCTCCAACTCCCTTGGCAAAGCCTGACCTGTCCTTGCAGCAGACCCTCCCTCATCAAGGTGTGGAGCCCTTACTGCCACGGAGACAAACCTTTAAATTCCAGAATGTCCCACAGCCTAATAAAGCAGTGCCCGGGGCCTGCCTCCCCAGCCCAAACTCAGGGGGCTTGGTGCTAGAGGTCAGCGCTGCTCACCAGGCTTGGCTGTGGTTCCGAGGGCCGGGACGCCACCCTCCTCCTCAGTTTCTGACACCAGAACGGTATTTGCCAAGGGCCCTGCTGACTTCCTGGGGGACCTCCCAGACAGAAGGTGGGCCACTGCTTTTCCAGAGGCCGGATGTGGTGTGGAGTTCACCATCTTGCTGGCTTTCTTGGTCTTCGCCTACAAAGGACGGGGTGACAGACACGCCGGATACGGCCTAGTGAATGACGAGCACAGACCTCTTCCCAGCTGTGCGAGTTTGGGCAAATTCCCTCCCTCCGTCAGTTACTTCATCTCTAAGGTGGGGCTGACAGTGGTACCTGCCCTCATGGAGGCTTGGAGAATGCCCAGTGGCAGTTCCTGGGACACAGGAATTACTTGCTAAGCGGTACTGAGTGGTCTGCTGTGGTTCCTAGCACTACTTGGCATGGCTGAGAGCGCGCCCGGCAGTCAGGGACGTGTCCTCGGGTCTCTAACGCTGCCTCCTCCACTACCAGCGCATGGTCTTCCACTCTGAGTGGTTTCAGTCTAGAAAATGAGCTTCTTGCTTTCAGAACCACATGCGTCTCATTCACTGTGGGGCGCCCCACTGCCTCCCATGGTGCCCAGAAAATAACTAGATGGGTCACAAGTTGTTGGCTGAACAGGCGACTGCAGGGATGACGGGGAAAGAAGCTGTTACATGTGCATGCTGTAGGGGCCTGGAGCAGTGTAAAAATGTATCCACCTTACAGAAAAGGAAACTGAGGCCCAGAGAGGTGAAGGGACGTGCTAGGGTCACATGACTGGTGATAAAGGCTGACATCTGAATCCAAGTCAGACTGTTATCCACAACCCTATCCTTCTCTGACACAGGGGACTGTCCCCCTGTAAGGCACTTCACTCCCACAGGCCACAGCTTCAAAGGTGGTCCTACTCACCTTGGCTTTCTCCTTTGCACCCGACGGCAAAACCGGCCCCGCCGCTGAGGAGTTGGTAGCCGCTAGTCTTGGGGCTGTAAGACAGAAACACCCTCAGGCTGAGCCAGGTGAGCTTTTTCTCATTGAGAACAGACAAGAGGTATCAGCTCACCAGACGGTTCAACTGGTATGGCTGCCTGGTGCTGGCACGAAGACCTGAGGCTGAGCCCAGACTTGTGGGAAAGAGCTCTGGGGTGCAGGAGCCACAGCCAGAAGGAGCAAGAGGGCAGGGCGACATGAAAGCCACGGATCTGCATCCCCCAGGGAGCCCTGGCTGGCATGAGACACTGGAGCCCCCAGAGGAAAGGGCTGGCTCACAGGCATGCTGCATACTACCTCGATGGCAAGGCCCCACTTCAGGGTGGGCCAGCCCCGCAGGCGACCACGCTGTAGCCTGAGTCACTCAGCAGGACAGGGACGGTGGTCAGCCCACCCGCCCTCGGGCCACACAGAAAGCTGCTCAGGATTTCCAAGGTTTCTAGTGGAAAGGCAGCTGAACATGGGCCCGGGAACTGGTCAGATGTTAAGACTTAGAGATTCCTGGTGCTCTTACACCAGGGGACTGTCTCCCTAGAGCTCAGACAGGACAAGATTTCTAGGGCGTGCTGTGAATGCAAAAGGACACTGCAGAGATTAATGGCATAGTCTAACTCCCTTCCTGGCATTTAACTCCATCTCCCTCTCTTTTTAATTTCAGATGCATTTGTAAGTGGAGAGGAAGTAGAGCGAACCACACAGCACCAACCATTACCAACTTGTGGCCAATGTGATGTCAACCAGCCTCTCTGGCTCCCTTCCCCATCAAGTATGATTCTGAAGAGAATGCCAGACATGTACCACGCTGCCCACAAATATTTCCATATGCTTCTCTCAACGGGGACTTGATTACGATTCCCTTATCACAGGAAAATTAATATCACTAAGACTCACTAAATAAAAATTCATTAATATCAGATATAAGTCAGTATGAAATTGACCAGTTTTTGTGTTTCACAGCACGGAGCTATGGATGTATGCACATACGGACAGCTGTCCGTAGGCTCAGATGCAAAGGGGACAGCTGTAAAGCCACCCGCTAGGATACATATGGGGGAGAAAGGGAACCAGGATAGGAGATCAGAACACCACTCATTTTTCTTCCATGTGCTTTTGTATGATTCAAAGTGAACCTGTTCTGCATTTATAATTTTAGAAGATTAAGAAAGATATAAGATATATTTAATATGATCTTGAATATTTTTAAAAACATGCTCAGGAAAAATAAATGGAAGAATAATTTGCCAAATCATAGGCGATAGAGTATGGGTAATTTTTCCCCGTCTTTTTAACCATTTTTGTAAATCCTACAACGAATAGTCCACAGGGAATCCTGGATTTCTTTTACAATCGGAAAATATACCTAAAATCAAGAAATTACCTTCTTTGTGAGCAAAACCCAATAACCTTGCAGAGAAAAAGGACGATTCCTCTGTGGAGTTACAGCTATGTTTGTTAAAGTACGAACCGTCCTGAGGACTTGGGCAGAAGGGGCTGGGCAGGCCTCTCGGGGTCACCCGGTGAAAGCTCTGAGACCAGAGTGCCCAGGTGAGCCTCCCTGCGCTACCTTGTACTCTTCCAGAATGACAGGAAGCACAGCCCCTCCCCTGGCAGCCCACAGGCAAAACAGAAGGGGTGCCTGTCAGCTGCCCTCTGAGATCCTTCCAGCAGCTCTTCCACAAATGTGGGCTTCTTTCCATCTTCATCAGACTCACCGGGGGGCTTGCAACAATGTAGCTGCTGTACCTCAAATCAGACTGTAAGGGCCCAGCTCAGTTTTTGTTCGCCACTGGATTCCCAGTACCCGGGACACGATGTTTGGCACGAGAAAGGGCTCAACTAAATACTGCAAGAGGTATGTGAGATGCTTCCAATCTTCTCTCTAAAAGGTCCTGGTCTTCCCAGGGCTCACTGGAGGAGAAGCTGGAGGTGGGCTCTCCCCCCGGAACAACCCAACATCCAAACGCCTGCCCCCCGGAAGCTGCAGGGCCCTGGGCCGAGCCCCTACAAACACACCGGCAGGAGCTCCCCCAGCAGGCAGGGCCTGCTTACTGGCTTTGGCGGCTTCAGCTTCTGCCTCCTCCTCCTCCTCCTCTTCCGAGCTCTCAGAGCTGCTAATGGGGTCTGACACTCGGGTCTTCTTAGCCTGCAGCGCTGCATCCTCCTCCGCCTTCCGCTTCTGGCCAACCTCTGAGGTTCTGCAGGACGAAGTGACTGGCTGTACCAACCAGGTGGCAAGGGCACTTCCAGGAGATTTGAAAAGAAAGACATGCCCCCACCCCCCCACCCCCGCTCCCCAAGGAAATGTGCACGGAGGGTTTGAGAACATGGTGTAATACACTTGTATTCTGCATTTTCACACATTTCATAAACTATTAGTCTTCAAAATAACCAGGAAAGGTCAATCAATAACATTATATAACAATGGCCAACCATTACTGAGTGTGATGAGCCAGCCCCTGTACGCTGTTCATAGGATCATCCAGACTCCCCCACTCCTCCAGAACTTGAAGCACCAGCACTGCCCTCTTTCTGGAAGACCCTGCTCAGCTCCTTCCTGTGCTTCAGGCCTCAGCGCGAACACAGACTCCTCAAAGGCCCTGCCTGGTCATGGCCCAACCCCGCCAGTCTCTGCCCTGCCATCCTGTTTCGTTTTCTTCAGAGCACTTTTCTCCCTCCTGCTATTCTACTGACTTCCTGCCTGACTCCCCAGCTACATCATCAAACCCTGGGGCGGGGAGAGGGTGCTGGCAGGAACCTCTGCTAGCTCACTATGTATCTTCAGCATGTTAGCTTACAGCTAAAAAAAATGAACAACTGACTTGCTCAGGGTGAGAGAGGAAGAATTTGGGAAGTCTGGGGCATGGGCAGGACAAGCACCCAGATGGCTGAGCCCCTGCAGTGTACAAGGACCATATCCTCTGACCTGACCCTCCCATCCCGACAGTGTCACTGTCTGTGCCCTGTCTTCTCCAGCTGGGCTAGCTGTGCTGTCACAGTTTGTGGTCCCCTGTTCCCAGGAAGGCCATTTGTTGGGACTCCCCTGAAATACAGGCTTCATTTATTACACTTATCAATTCATTTTGCTCCTCTCGCCCCAACAGAATGTAAGTTTCATAAGGGTGGGGATTCTTCTCTGGTTCGTCCCAGGTATATTAAGAACAGTTCTGGCTCATAGTAGCTGCCACTCAATAAATACTGGGCGTGGGGGAGGATATACCTCCAATGGTCAGGTTTAGCACCTTATTTACTATTACTGTATTTTACAGATGAAGACACAGACTCAAGGAAGCCAAGTTTGCCCAAGGTCATATAGCTAGTTGTTGGGTTTGAACTCTGCTGAGAACCATTAGACTAGGCTGCCTCTGGTGGGTGTGAGGTCCTCGTTCAGTACCCCTCACCCACAGAAGGGACCAGTGACAAGGGGCTCACTGAAGCGGTTCTCTAGGGAAGTGCCAGACACCTGCACACGCTGAAGGGGGTGAGGGAGAGGAAATGCAGGGAGGGAACTGCACTCTGACCTTACCTTACAGCAGAGGGTAGCTGAGAACCGAGAGCTGACAGGGTCTTCACAGACCTTAGCTCTCCACTGGAGGCTGGGATCTCTTCCACATCATTCTCGCCCTTGCTTACACACCTCTGATGACAGGTAGCCTACCTCATTTCTGGATAGCTCTGATGACCAAGTGCTTGTATTCAGAAGCTGAAGCTTGTCTCCCTAAAGCAGTACCTCTGGGTCGCACTTCAGTTTCTCAGGACCCCAGACAACAGCCCACTTCCTTTGTCCTCAGAGATGTGCACACCTATCACCGGCCCCTTTGCCATCTCTCGTCCATCCTGGACAGTTCAGTATTTTCTATTCATTCAACATGGGACATGACTGCAGGTCCTTCACTCCCCTGGATGACTGTGGTCAGGCCAGTTCACAGAGAGGATGATTACCCCTTCCCTCCCTCTCAAACCATTCTTCTGTTGATATGCCTTTGGATTACCCCCCGCCTTTCCTGTTTCTGCATGTTTCACAGACATTTCACACGCAACATGTCCTCCTTCTCCCTCCAAACTGGGCTTGCTTCTTGCTCCATGCTGAAGCCCACCTTCCATGCAAGTGCATAGGCCAGGCACCTGGGAGTCAACGAGCCCACCCCTCCAGACCATCCACAGCTCTCGGTCTCGTCCCCTAATATTCCTGGAACTGACTGTCTGACTCTACACCCCCTCTGTTATTCCTGTCTCAAACCCCATCAGCTCTTGCCTGGATGATGGTGTCCATAGCCCCAACCAGCCAAGCCATCCTGCAGAGTGATCTCACCACTCTCCACTGCACACTTTCATGGCCCCCACTGCTCTTGGGGCAAAGACGCAACTTCTCACCACGGACGATGAGGCCTTGCATGGGTCGACTCTGCGAGCCATCCAGCCTCTTCTGCCCTGTGACTGTAGCCACAGGCCTCAGCCCGGGCAGTTCCTTCTGCCAGGCCCACTCTACCTGCCTCTCCAGACCTACTGCCTCATTCCCTCCCCCACTCCCTGCAGCCCTTACACCAAAGGTCATCACAGGGAAACCTCCCCGAAACCCCTAAATGAGGCCCAGCTAACCTGTTTATGGGGTCTTGGCACCAGGTCCTTTTTCATAATCGTTACTGCCATTTTAATTTTATATTTATTTGTTTCATTCTTTGAGGCATGCCTACCTGACTCCAATGTCAGCTCCAGGAAAGAAGGAATCATGTCTGTCTCACTCACAACAGTTATCTCCATACTTAGAACAGGACCTGGCACTTAGCAGGGAGGTACGTCATACATGTTTGGTGACTGAATGAGTAACAAGCTGCTGAGAAGCTGTGGTCCTTGGAAGCACTGAACACAGCTCTCAATGTCCTCTCTCACTATCAGACACCCATAGCTATGACCTGGCTTCTCAGGGGCAAAGCCAGTGTCCACAGTGGGCTATGTAGACAGACTGCAGACCAGATCAGAATCCTAGCTTATTTCAAGCTGATGGCTTGGGGTGTCCCTACTCCACTCTTCCAGCCCCGTCAGACTTACTGTTGCCAGTGAGTATAGATGTCCATAAGGGTTACAGGCTGAGTCAGGAAACTTTTCTGCAGAGAAGTAAAGAGAAAGCAGCAATTAACTCCCAGCACAATATGAGTCCTCCTTGGGCCCAACTCTCCACAACCTCATGGGAGACCTTTTGTGCTTGCCCCAGTCAGTACCACTCAAACCTTCCAGAGACAAGGAGGGCAAGTAGTTCCAGCTAAAACCTTTTAAGACAATGTTGTCAGCGAGAGGTACCTCTGAAAGACTGGAGTTAGAATGTTCCAGGCTAGCATCTATCCAGCAGCCCCGGACCTTCAGGGCACTCTCCACGCTTAGAGGTCACAAGACAGAGTTTTTTCCACCCCCAGCCTTTCAAGAGTCTCTGAAATGCCGGGTGGGTCAACCTTCCCAGGGCAGTACGAACCACAGCCCAGACATCCAAGGTGTCCAGTGGCATTTCTGTGGTCCACTCCTCTGCTGGGAAGAGACTGATGCCAGCCCTTGGTAGAAGCAGAGGGAACCGGGTGGAATCCAGCCCTCTGGAGCCAAGGCCAGATGGCCCACTCTGTAAATGTCAAGAACCCAGGGTGTCAAGTGCCCCAGAGAGGTCAAGTGAGCAATGTGAGGTGAGGGAAGCATCAGGAATTCAGGCACAATGGCCAAGAGGCTGCATCTAGAGTCAGGCAGAGCTCCTCCACTAATTGGCTGAGCTAATCTCTTTGCCTCATCAGACTCTGGGCTACTTCTTTATAACACAGGGATAAGAGCAGAACCCCCCTAGCAGGACACTATCAGGCCTGAACAAGATATTCTAGTCAGTGCCCAGCACAGGGGCTGGTAACACACAGACTCCAATTGTCAATTTCACTCTGCTCTGCCCAAGGCACACTTGTTTCCTTACTGGCCCTCAAAAGTGCTGCTATTCTTTCTGCCTGGAATGCTCTTTCCTGATAACTACATAGCTCACTCCCTCACTTCCTTAAGGTCTCTGTCCTCTCAGAGGTGAAATGTCACCTTCCCAGTGGGGCTTCCTGATCACCCTATTTATAACTGAACCCTGATATTCCTTATCCTCCTTGCCTGCCTTACTTTTATAGCTAATACCTAGGATCACTGAACACACTGTATCATTAACTTTTTTTTTTTTTTAATATTTGTCATCTGTCTGCTCCTGCTACATTGTATGCTCCATGAGCACAGGATACTTTGGCCTAGACAAATGCCCCAGTGAAGATGGGTACTGTCTCTTACCCCACTTACCTGTTAAGTGATCTACATGGAGTAAAAAGACAATCAAGGTCCAAAGAGGGTTGAGAAAAGCTTGGATAAAGTCTTGGCCCATTACTCTTTAGGGAGATCCCAGAAGCAAGCATCAGAACCAGAGCCCACACCACAGCCAAAGGCAAGACTAATCAGATCAATATCCACTTTACCAGCTTAAAACCCTCCAGTGACTTACCACTGATCTTCAGATGAAGACCAAACCAACTACAGCAGGGCTCTAGTCTGCTCCCTACCCCTTCTGTCACCTTGTACTTCACACTTCAGCCACAACGGACTTTCTAGAGGCCAGTACAAATGCAGAAAGTTCCCTCCCACCACAGGGCATTAGCACCTCTGCCTGGAATATCCACCTCCTTTCTCTCAGGTCTCAAATCAACTTCCACATCCCGGGGAAAGCAGTCCTGGATATCCCTGACACTGGCAATTTGCCATCCCTGTCTTATCACTCTACACCTCTCATTCTTGGCACCTAACGTGTTACTTTTGTGATTCTTGATTTATGTCCACCTCACCTACCAGATTTAGATTATAAACCCTAGGAGGGCTGGGGGACCTTGCTCAACAGTCTATCAATAGCACCCTGAGTACCAGAGTGAGTTGCTGAAAAAAATGAATGAAGTAAGCAATGACTCCATCACAAGCTCGCATTCCAAAGCTGTCTGACTCAGTATCGGTGGGATGAGGGCCGGAGTTTCACCTCAAGTAAGGGGCCACAAGCCCCTTCCCTCGGCGCTCTGTGTCCTCCTCACCCTTCCCGGGGTCTGCGGCAATTCACCCCTCAGACTCTGAGCAACCCTCCAGCCCTCCCGGGCCGCGCTGAGCCACGTGGCCCGAGACTTCGGAAACTTTAAACCGCCACTACCGGGAAGGGGGTGGAGGTACGGGGCGCGGGAATTACAAAGCCGTGAGCTTCGGATCTCACATCGGGGCCCGCCCACTGCACCGCTGGAGAAACTGAGGCCCAGAAGGGCAGGGAGCCGAAGCGGGGGCAGAGGCTGCGGCTCCTTCACTAGCCCCGACCGCCTCCCAGAGCACCGCACGGTCCGGCTCTAGGCGTTCGCCAGGCCGCTAGGGGAGGGGGCACAGGCAGTCGCTCTCCAAATGTTGCACGCGGCCCTACCACACGGCCCGCGCACGCTTACCTGGCCACTCTGCTCCTTCACTTCCCGCGCCGCGCGCACATAGCCTGCCTGTAACAGATGCTGGTAGATCAGGGGAAGCAACTCCCGGCGTTTCCTGGCCTCGGCCATGCCGGCGAAACCCGCCCGTCGGCTCACCTGCACGCCCCCCTCAGTCCCCGCCCGCCACTTCCCTCGTGCCCTTAGACCTCGCGCGCCCCACTTCCGGCTCCTCTTTCGCCCGCGTCGCGCGGTGCGCCGGGAAATGTAGTCTTATTTCCTGGAGTGGCCGGCTCCGCCCCGGCGGGTGAAAGGGGCGGAGGCTTGGAGGATAATGATGCCTCCCATTGGCAGGGAGGGCGTGGTCAAACCTAGTCCCTCCTCCTGGCCTTGATCTGAATGACTCCTTAAACCCTCCAGACTTGCTCACCGCTGGCATCTGTCTTTTCCCTGTTCGCTGTGACGTCTGTGACAGCGTTTTGCTCATCTCTGAACATTTTTTTTTTAAAGATTTTATTTATTTATTTGACAGACAGAGATCACAAGTAGGCGGAGAAAGAGGCAGAGAGAGGAGGAAGCAGGCTCCCTGCTGAGCAGAGAGCCCAATGCGGGGCTCGATTCTAGGTCCCTGGGATCATGACCTGAGCCGAAGGCAGAGGCTTTAACCCACTGAGCCACCCAGGCGCCCCTCATCTCTGAAGATCTTAATCTGCATGTCTCTGGTCCCGAGTTACCAGTTACCCACTCATTTATTCACTTCACAGAGTTTTTAGGACCCATGACTATTTGTCATTCATTGCCTAAATCGTTCTTTGAGCACTATACTTCAGGCTAGTGCTCACCTGGAATGGAGGGATAAAAAGATGGATAAGAAACGGTGGCTACCCTCAAAGCTCACAGGGAGATTTGGTAACCAAACGATGGTTCAAGGTCTTGAGTACATTATTGGGGACAGACACAGCCTATGGGATCCAGGAGGAGGGGCGCCTAACCCCAAAGAGACATCTAATTTCAGGCTTAAAGATGGAACAGGAATTTCTAGGTGCAGAAGAGAGGACTGGCATACCAGGCAGAGGACACTGCCTGTACACAGACAGGAGAAACCACCGCTATAAGCTGGGAAGCCCAAACACAGAACCCAGTCTGTGCTGGTGGGCTGTGGTTGTGGGAAAGAGGGGATGAGTAAGGACACGGAGGATGGAGAAGTAAACAGGCCCTGCAGCACCCGCTCCTGCCGAGCAGAGCTTGCACTTTGTTGCAAGGGTGATAGATAATCTCTGACTTGTTTCATGTAGGAGGGTGACCTGGGTTTGTGTTTTTAAGAGATTGCTATCACCAGAATGTGGAGGACGGATTTGTGGAGAGCAAACTAGATGTGAGGCTGTCGTACTTGTTGAAGGGAGGCTGGCAGGGAGAGGATGAGGTAGGCTGGGGAATATTTGAATCAGCTCTTTTTAACTTCACGGACCCATTGAGAAACTGAAGATAGCATGAACCACCTAGACTTTGTTGCCGAAAATTTTGAATGTGCACAGACGCATAACGTTTTCACACTGTTTTTAGGATGTGGATAAGCACATAACTGAACCTCCTAGAGTTAGGAACTACTGCTCCAGAAGAAACAGGGATAGGACCTGGTGACTGAAAGCAGCGAGTGAAGAAGAGGGAGGAGAGTAATCTGCATTCTGTTATTTAGTGAAATATTTATTGAGTACATACTGTTGGGATAAAGTAGTGTCCACCCCAGTAGAGTTCAAAGTCTAAAGGGGGAGACACATGCTAAAAAGTTATACAAATACTTTGTTACAAACAGTGAGGCCATGCAGAAAGGAAAAGAATAGAGTTTTCTTATGGAACAGTAAACACTGTGTGGGAGTCACACAGCTAGTGTTCAAATTCTGCCTTTGCTTCTTGTTAACTAGGGAAACTTGGATAAGTTACATACATAACTTCTCTGTGCCTTGGCTTCTTCATCTGTAAAATAGAAACAATTGTAGTATCTACCTCACAGGCTTGTCATGAGGAGTAACTGAGGTCTAAGCAGAAATGCTCAGAAACTTCTAGCAATAGTGCTGTGCCTAGATGTATGTTAGCCATTGTCGGAAAGCATTTAACAGGAAGGAGGGATCTATCCTTTCCTGGGGGTTAGAGAAGGAGCCCCTGAGAAAGTGACGTTTGTGAGGAAATCTGAACTGTGTATAGGTGAGGATGGGGTGGGGGGGTTATTCCTGGGCAGAGGGAAGAACCTGCGCAAAGGGCCTGAGACAGAAGGTGCAGCTGAGAGGAGAGATGAGAAAAGGCCTTGGGAGCAGGCCATAGGGGGAGAGCAAGGGGATTGGGGAATGTGGAAGGTGGGCACAGACAGATTCCACATTAAGGAATCTTTGTTTTCATCTTAAGCATGATAGGAAGCCACTGACAGTGTTGGCCCAAGAACGACAGGATGGTTTTTCATTTTAATGTGGTCTGTGTGAATGCCCAGTGGAGAGTGGAGTAGGGTGTGTATGTGTCCATGCCAGATGACAAGTTAAGCTTAGGAGCGCAGGCAGGCGTTTAGGGAGAATATAATGGGGCAATGCTGGTTGCAGCAGAGGTGGAGAGTGCTGGAAGATTCCAGGGTTGTTGAGAAGTAAAATCGTCATAGGGATGTGTTGGAATGGAGGGCAAGGCAGAGAGAGCATCAGGATGGACTGTGAGGTTTCTGGGCAGCCCAGCAGGCAGTGACTTTCCCTGAGAAAGGGAAGCCTGGAGACGACAGGGATGGGTGCAGAGTGGGAAGGGAAGGATGACGAGGTGGGCCATGAAAAATGCAAGTACTGCTTTAGGCGGGTGGAGCTTGAAATGCCTTTGAGACACAGAGAGGAGGTGTCCGGTAGGCACTTGGGGGCCTAGGTTTGGACCCACATGAAGATGGGAAGCTGTCAGAAGAGATGATAATTGAGGCTGTGGCTGAGGGCCAGGTTGTCCAGGGAGCAGAACACAGACAGAGGAGAGAAGGTGGCCCAGCAGGGAGACCTAAGGCGTACCCACAGGGTAGAACTGCACAGAAGAGGACGTGCCTGGCAAGGCAGAGAAGGAGGGAAGAGAGAGGCAGGAGAAGACCCAGGAGGGTGGGTGTAGGGAAGGAAAGCAAGGGACAAGTGTCAGGAAAGTGCAGTGAGCCCATGGGGAATGCTCCAAGAAGTCAGATGGGATGAGCATGGAACCGTGAGCTTTGGCTTAATGACAGCTGTGGCGACTGTTGATGGCTTTCGGGAGTGCTACTTCCGTGGAGTGATGGAGAAGGTCAGGTGGCCGTGGTCTGATGAGTGAAGGAGGGATGCAGGAGGCAGTGAGTCTTTGGAGAAGTTTCTGTGCAAAGGGGAGGAGAGAGACAGTGTGGCAGGGTTGGTGTGTGTGCTGGGGGAGGTGTGTTATAAGGTGCAAGAGAGCTGTGTTTGTTTAAAGGCAGATAAAGGGGAGAGAGCTTAATTAGGGGTGTAGGGAACAGGGGAGATAATCAGCAAGTGACGCTCAGGAGCATATGCAAGAGGGAATGGGTTCAGGCATGTGGGTGGAGGGGTTGGTCTCAGAGAGGAGGAGGGATGACTTCTCTAGAACCAAAAGAAGGAACAAAGAGAGGATGGGTGCAGATGTAGATGTAGGTTTGTAGTGGGATGTTAAGGGAGATTTCATCTCGAGCTTCTATTTTTTCTGCAAAGTGGGAGGCAAGGTCCTCTGCTGAGAGCGAGGAAGAGGTGGTGAGGAGTCTGGAGGAAGGAGGAGAATGAGCATTCCGACTTGGGAAGCAAACTTGCCCACAAAATCCCCAATTGCCTGATAGTGTCGACAACCCAGTTAGAGGCTGGTGATCGTTAATTTATGTGTGTCCTGTCCCGTCCCACCGAGAGATTTCCCCCTTTGTAGCTCACCTACCCAGGAGCAGGCCAGGGGAAAGTACTTAGTGGGGTTTATCTAGAGGCCTCGGGTTTTGCCAGATGCGTGAGGGAAAGAGGCACAGGGATTTAAAGTGTTGGCAAGAGAGGTGCTCAGTCTCTGAGCTCTGGGATCTACACTGGGCAGGGAGGGAAGTGGAGACAGAGGGAGCCAATGTTCAGGGAGAGAGTGGAAGCCTCCGGGGACTGGGCCACCATGAGGATGATTAACCAGCAGCCTGTGCTGTAAGACAGTTGGCAACTCCACCTGATGGCAATGCCCAGGTTCCTGACTGGGGGCAAGGTGGGGGCGCGGATGGGCCACTGACTGAGTTAAGTCAATAGGCTGATGAGCATAAAATCTCTGGGAAAATCAAAGCTCTTTTTCCTCCAAGCTCTTATTTTCACCCCCATGGGGTATTATCATCCTCGTTGAGTGAACACTTTTGTAGATATAAATTTCCCGAGGGCCGATCTGGAGTTGTCTTGTTGGCTGTGATATCCCCAACCCCAGTCAACAAATATTGGCAAACGCAGAGGTGGTTATAGTCTGACTCCTGAGGAAGAAAGGAGGGCAGAGCAGGCAGGGCAAACGTTGTGAGTACAAGCCTGGAAGCAGAAATGTGGAAGCTTCTAGAAGTCAGTGGAGAGGATACTGGGACATGAGTCTTTGGCTGACCCTGGGAAAAAGGAAGAACTGATATTAAATTAAAAAAACAAAAACAGGATGGTCTAATACCTTCTGTGTGGCAACAGGTTGTTTTTGTTTTGTTCCTAATAAAATTCATTTTAAGCACTTGTGCTTTGTCCTTGGCTCCTGGGAGGCTGCCTCTTGTGTGGACAATTTTTTTTTTTTTTAATTTCCTTGATTTTCTAAATCATACCCTTCACTGAATTGCCTCAGGGCCCAAGCACAAAATTAAAACATTAAACTGATAAAATACAACATGGCAACAATTAAGACAGCAGCAAACAAAGCAGTGCATTAAAAAAAATTAGCCTCAGAGCAATTTTTTTTTTTTTTTTAACAGTTAGGAAAAGATGTCTTTGTTAGCGGTAGAAGCCAGAAGCTTCCAGACCACTCGACTGTGAGTGTCTCTCGGGTAAGCAGCATGCTTTAGTCATCTTGAATTCTCAAGCAGGGCACAGCGAGGGCACTCAGGAAATGAGTGAAGGAGGGACTGTCAGCAGAGGGGAACGAAGTTAAGCAGGTGGGACACTATACCCTTCTTCTCCCAGCAGGAGGACTCCTGCACAGAGTTGGAAGGTAGCACGATA